TAAATATAAAACTCAACCTTTATCACCTTTCAAAGTCTGAGTCTCATTCTTACAAGTAGTCAAAATGATATCATCATTATAAGACATAACAGCAACAATATCATTTTTTCTTCATCCAATTTTTTATCGTCATTCGTTCTTTTGAAAGCAACTATATCCTTTCTTAACTTCTTATAGTGCATTTGAATATATAATTTTTCACCACAATAATAATATTCTATGTCGCTGTAATCTTTATCACTTGACTTAGATCTCTATTTTGATCCATCAATCATCTTTTGAATCTTTTCTCGATTAAAACCTTCTGCAACTAGTGTACTCCCCTCAAGTGATAAGTTTTATATTCTCATAAACCTTTTATTTTCATGCAGCAAGGCAATCACATCCTCCAACTTCAAAATAGACCTACTCACCAACAAAGTCTGAACTAAAAGCTTATAAGACTTAAGCAAATATGACAACAAAATTAAAGCATTTTCTTCATCTTCCAACTCATCATTAAAAACCATCAGCAATTGAGAAACTAATCTATTAAACTCATTCAGGTAATTATAAAGACTCATACCTTCTTTCATTTTTATAGAATATAAATCTATCTTCAAATATAATCTGTTAGTTAACGACTTCAAAGCATAAATATCCTCAAGCTTATCATATAAACTCTTTGGAGTACTTTCAGTCAACACACTATACTTTACCTCTGGGGTTAGCATCAATCTAATGATATAACAGCTTTCTTTTAAATTCTATTTCAATTATCGTAAGACATTTTCTTAGGCTTATTGCTCTCTAATGCTTGATCTAACCCTTGTTGTACTAATAGATCTTGAATTGTACATTATCATAATATAAAATTACTCTTTTCATCAAATAACAGAATCTCAAACTTAGGCATAGGAATACTAGACATACCTTCTTTAGACATCTTGAAATACTTGCTTCACGATCTTTTAGGCCAGTCTCTTCTTCACATTAACCTCAAACTTCGAACTTTACTCTGATACCACTTGTTAGGAAATCAACACACATACGTAGCATCCATACATAAAATAGTAAGCTTAAATTAAGAATAAGAACACACAAATATATTTGTTTTAGCCCAACTTAAAATGATCTATTCTAAACCTAATCCACTATCAAATAAATCTTTACAATTGAGACTTTGGAATGAAAAAAGTCACCAAAAACTCTTTACTCAAAACTTAACCCAAAATCTAATTACACTATTTTAATAGTTTACTCACCTAGCTATTCTCTTAGTGTCTAACAATCTGAGATTACCAAACCAAAATTAAAACATCTATTTATAAGGATGAAACTCCTTATACATTTACTAAACTTTCGATGTGAGATACAAGATAAACTCAAAACTCTTATAATTTTCGATGTAAGATTATGATATTCAAGGAAAATCTCTTATAACTAAACTTTGGGGGTACTAACAATGTGCCACTAAGGACGGTGGACCTTAGTTGGAATGGAGGAAGATGCCACCGACCTAAAAAAGAGTCATGAATCTCACATTGGCTGTGTACTAGAATTAGTTATGGGATATAAGGGTTCACACATTTCCCTCCTTGTGAGATACTTTTTGTGGGATAAAATCGTGAGGTCAAGGAGGTCAAAATAGACAATACCTCATAAGGGTATGAATCGTGACAGTTAGGCTGATCTGAGATACCAGATGAGTGCATACCCTAATCCTGAAGCTGCATGAGTTTGAAGGTCAAGTCTTGGCCCGTGACAAGTGACATCAAAGTCAATGTTATGGCGTGTTCAAGTCCCAGTGACGTTGTTAGAGGAGAGATTGTTGACAGATCAAAAGTTGGCCCCGTCTATCAACTTCACGTGCTCGAACGTCGATATTTAAAAGTTTCTACTCAATGTAGCGAGTATATGATAATATGCAAAAGCAAAATACTTAAGTAGACAATGTGTTGAGTCAGCCTGGAGTGTAACCTTAAAGAGCACTCTGACCCAAAAAGTACACTAGAGATGTAAAGTTACTTGGCCCAAAAAAGGTAAAACTTAATCAGATTACTTGCACAGAAGGAGTTAAGGTGAGACTTGATCAGAACTCACAAATGAACGGAGGGGAGATTATTGAAATATATGATTCATATGTGAATAAAGAATTATATATCATTAAAAAATTTGAATGAAATATTTTATATATTCATAAAAGACCAAAAACTTAATAATTTAATATTTCGGGTTCAAATAATATTTAATATATATGTATGAACTCTCTAATATATTATCATAAACTTCATGTGTGATTTATCTCTCTTACAATATCAGGATGTGATGCATCTGTGTTGTTGGACGCTGTTAATAATAATTCAACACCTGAGAAAGATGCAGTTCGAAATCTATCTTTTGTCTGGTTTCGACGTGATCGATGAAATCAAGACTGCAATCGAAAACGTTTGACCTAAAGTCGTTTCCTCTGCTGATATTCTTGCATTGGCAGCTCGTGACGCAGTTTCTGTCCCGGTAAAACGTCACATCTTGTATAAATCAATTGAGTTCGTAATGTAACTGTGAAATATTATATTAATTTTACAGTTCAAAAGACTCCTTTGGGACGTGGCCCTTGGAAGAAGAGATGGCAGAATTTCCCTCTTAAACGAGACCAATGGAAACATCCCTGCACCCTTTGACAATTTCAGCAGTCTAGTTCAAGTATTTAACAAGAAAGGTCTTGATGTTGTTGATCTTGTTGTTCTTTCAGGTATGAGTTTCCTTTCTTACTTTATATATGCAGGAGCATGTCTATATTAATTAACAAGCTCACATTATACTTGATGCTTTGCATTTGACTTTCATATTAAATCTATAGTGAATAAAATATTTTAATTATTTTTAATCATCAACAAAATTTGGATATGAAGTATTGTTAAAATGAGAATATTATTTGATCCTATTGTGCATTAAGGTGATATTTATGTAAAAAAATAAAATATCGTGCATTAAGATGCTATCGTGCATGATCAATTTGAAATCTAAAATCCATAAAGGTTAATTCAATTGATAAAGAAAGGAATTGTCGTTTTGAATTTGAATATTAATTAAGTAATTCATGTAATCTTCTTAAAAAATAATATTTAATAAATTTAAAATTCGAATTCAAATATTTATAATATCTTTCTTTCTTTTTTAATAAAGATGGCGAAAAACTTGTTTTGTCTCGATCCAATTTTATAAATTTAATACCTAAACTCAATTTATTTGGATATTTAAATATTATTTTTTTAAAATATAAATATAAAAAATATATAATCAAATAAATTTTAAAAAAATATAATAATATATATAAATATATATCGGGTTTGCATAAAATCTAACTTCAACTTTTTCTTTTCAAAAATACTTGATCCAACCTAAACTTTGATTTTCAAAAATAAAAAACCAACCTTATAAAGTTGAGTTAGTTCGGAACATAATAGATACGGTTTGAATTGTTAACATTGTTTTAAGTTATAACTTTTTATGTAAAAAGTAAATTTGACATTTTTTTATGAATTAAGATTCAATTTTTATAAAAGTACTTTGAAAGTAAAATTCTGAACGTATTTTAAAAGTAAAAATCTCATGGAATAGGTGCCCATACCATGGGAGTTGCTCAGTGTGAAACATTTTCAAGAAGGCTTTACAACTTCACCGGCAAAGGCGATGCTGATCCAAGCTTGGACCCAACTTATGCCGACACATTGAGAAAGCAATGTCCCAACCCAGCCAGTCCAACAATAACAGTGGAAATGGATCCTGGAAGTTAACTGTCATTTGACAAACATTACTATGATGTCTTGCTCCAAGCCAAGGGGCTGTTCGTAGCTGATGCTGCACTTCTTGCAGACAGCACTTCCAGATGGATTGTGACTCAGTTACAAAGGTCAGGTACAGTTTTTTATGCCTTTGCAAGATCAATGGGGAAAATGGCAGCCATTGAAGTTCTCACTGGAAATGCTGGAGAAATCAGGGAGAATTGCCGTTTTGTCAATCCGTGAAAAAAATCAATTTTCAGCTCTATATCAAGATTCTGGGGAAAAATAATTTATTAATGCATCAAGTTACTCAAAAAAATTAGGAGTCGTTCGGCATTGTTGACAATTTATATTTTAAGTTTTTGAAAATTTTGTTTTGTTTTATTTTTATTTTATGGAATTTGAAAACATGTTTTGAAATTTCCTTCATATTAAGTTTTGCCTATGATAATGATTCATGTGCTTACATATGTCCAAAAATGGCAAAAATGTGCCTATTTACTTGCATGGTTAATAAAAAAATATTTTAACAATTGTAAAAAATAATAAAAAGTTGAAAGAAAATATTTTTTATAAAGTATTTTCTCGTGGCAATATTTTTCTTCTGTCAAATATGGACGTTGATCCATTAAGATGATGCAAAGTTTTTCATGGAAAAGGACACCCTGATGGCAAATCCATCTTCAACAATTGCCAATCCATGATATTAATCATTCATAGACAAATAAAGGAACGGAGCTCCGATAATAGACCAAGCCTTTTCTTTGGCTCAATTTGCTTGCCAGCCAGCTTGATTTTCCCTTACTTCCATTGTCAATGTTGGAAGGAACCAAACATCTCATACATGACAGAAATCAAGTGTTAATAAGGGAGAAACATTTAGCAACTACTGTTACAAACATATAATGAAATGAGAAAGGACTGTCTGATTGGAGAGTTCCATCTCTGCAAACATAAAACATGCTATCAATGCAATAATGTGTGATGGTTGGGTGCGAAATATATTTTTTTGTTTCTATAGGATTAAATGCTTCTCATTGATTAGTTGTTAGACTGAATAGTAGGTTTATGCCAGTAATCTAAATAAATCATGCTGCATTTAACACATGATAATGATCCTCAAATCAAACGTTGGGCCATATCCTGGAGGCTTGAACCAACATGCCATATAGCAATGCAAAAATCATGCTCAACTTGAGATAGAGAGGGAGGGTAATTAATCGAGAAGCAATGTAACTAAAAACAATCGCCCTTTGTTCAGGCTTGCATAATTTGATATCGTCCACAAGAAACACTGAAACAGCACTTGTACATTGGTCTAAAATTAGCATAGCTTATACATAACAGGTTCCTTATTTCATTTTTTGTTCTGTGAAAAGAACATGGCGATTTACCCGAGGATCGTACTTGCGGAACTCAAGTTTCTCTGCCACTTTCTTGGCACTTTTCCTCTTCACATAGAAGAATCCAGTCCCAGCTGCTGAGACAAGACGGATAAACATAAAAGTCTTCTTCTTCTTATCACCCATTTCTGAACATACATGAGAAGAACACAAACAAATCAGTAGAAATAGATGCTTTTTAGAAAGAAAAGAAAGTCTTTACAAATAAGCAGCAAGAAACAACACTGATCCTACCATTTTGTATGCCAATGAGTAAAAGTGTATTTTTTATAAGCTTAATGATTTTTGCTAACGAATCCCCTTACTACACTCTTTCAGATTAGTTAAGTTACTATTTATACTAATATTCTTATATTAAATGTAATAGTTGACAGTTAATATGATGAATTTCAATGCATTGAAAATATATATTATCTAATATGGTAACTTTAAAGAGTGCCCTTGAGGCATTTGTTAGCAAAATCCACAGTTTTAGATGCGCACGTGCATTTGAACTTTTGTTTCACAGTGAGTGAGCAACTGTCTGAATCCAAATACATATAATGAACATCAAATAAATCTAAGACTAACACATAAAGAACTAAGCCATCCACATCTCCCCAACACTAAAAAGTACAGAATTGTCTATGGGCTAGGTGGACCATCCAGTCCAACAAACCTAGTCAAGCCAGCCAAGGAAAATTTCTTTAGCAGAGCTCAGCTCACCTTGAATGACTAGTTGAACATATAAACAATGCCTTTATTAAAGTATAAATTAGAAATTTTGCAGAAAGGGGGAGGTCAGGTGTAAAGACTTAGGTGCTCAAGGAGACAACAAGTTTCCAATGCTTAGTTTTTCGGTACTATAAACATCAATAAGTTTTAGTACAGAACTAGAAGAGCTAAATTCACTGCATTTCGAACTAGGAGCTTACTTCGAGCCTACTTCAATTGGTTCAAGCAGCCACCCTTAAGAAGCGGCATCCACCATTTCTACAGTTAAAATTTCAGCACATGCAGCCTTTTTTTTTTCACTTGACTGCAGCCTATCAACTCAATCCTATGTCTAAAGCTACCCAAAGAAAAGTTCCCCCGAGAGAAACACTTGGAAAAGGTAAATAGGTAATCACCGAATTACTAATCAATCAACAATTCTGCAGTTATATGAGCATCCTCTAAGCTAGAATGCAAGGGACACTGCTCAATTGCCTTTCTTCACTACAACCAAAACCGCTTCTTCCCCCATCAATTTAAGTTGATCAGATGCCAAACATTTTATCCATTTCTGATCTAAATTGGTTTGTAGCAACAAATTAGAATACAAAGCTGAAGCATATAGTAATACAATGACCCATCATTCCAAAAGAAAAAAGAAAAGAAAAGAAAACCCTCTTTTGCAATAACGCAATTAAAGCTAAAAAAGTAATCTTTTTTTGCCTAAATTTCAAATAATTTGACATTTCCACGCTAAAATCAGATCCAAGATCTCTGTAAATTTCAGCAAACTAAACACTTTCTCCATCACAAAAAACCGTAAGAAACAGCAAAACGAAGCAAAGAAGTGAGAAAAGGAAGTAACTTTAGCATTAAATTCAAAAAAAAAAAAAGAAAAGAACTTGCCTTCAAATTGTCTCGTGAATCACAGTTTCGAGATTGGCCGAAGAGAGAAAGAAAAGCAAACAAATTGCAGAAAGCTAGGGTTTTAGGGCTAGATGAAAGGAATAAAAAACCCAATGTTTGAAATTACATAAATACCCTTAGATGCAAAACAAAATTACGAACCGTCACCACCGTTTAGCATCCGTTACCACTTCCTCAGAGCCTTCACTACTACCCTAAACAAAAATCCCCCATTTCTCTCTCACACAGTCTTCTCTCTGAGTTTAAGCAAATACCCAATTAATTGATAGGGTAAATAATTAACTCCCAATAAATTTCTCTTTCTTTTTCCATTGATCGTAGAATAGTTGGGTTTTTTTTTTATTGGTGCAGAAAGAAGTGATTTTTTTCGAGGGTAGGGGTGGAAATGGCGAACGTGGTCGATGCGGCGGGAGAACCGATACCGACATCGTCGGTGCTGATGTCAGCAGCAAAGCACATAGAAATTAAATGTATGCCTGAAAACGTGGAGTTCCTAAAGTGCAAGAAGAAAGATCCAAACCCTGAGAAATGTCTCGATCAGGGCCGCCAAGCTACTCGTTGCGCCCTTGGCGTGTAAGCATTCCGATTTTCAGTTTTACCATTTTTTTTAATTTCTTTGTTGTTTTTGCTGAATTATATATATATATATATATATAAGATAATGTTGGAATTGAAAAGGAATTGATGGAAAATAAGATTGACTTAGGCGATGTGTGATAATTAGGATTATTGGGTTCTAGTATTTTTAATGGAAATATAGCTACTTTATCGGTTTGTGAATAGGCTCGGTTTCTGTTCATTTATATTTATTTATTAAGCTTAATAAATGAACACAAATAACATTTCAACGTTCGTTAATCAAATGAACAGATTACAAACATAGCAAAATTCGTTCATATTTGGTTGTATATGATCAAAGCATTCAATAGTTTGCGAATAGACTCAGTTTTTGTTTGATTATATTTGTTTATTAAGCTCAATTAATGATTATAAACAATATTTCAGGATTCGTTAATTAAATTAATAGATCACGGAAATAGCAAATTTTGTTCATGTTCGGTTCATGGGGACTCTTAAATATAGTGTGTAAATTTGGAATTAGGGTTTTTTTTTTTTTTTTGAGGTTTTACTTCTGTACTGGGAAAGTATGGCTAAAGAAAATGCAGATTAGTCTCATCCCTGCAGGTGACCGGGAAAATGAGCCTTGCTTTCTGCAACTTTGTGGTTCTGATTTGTTAACACTTGGTTGAGCAGCTAGAATTTGTGTCTATGGCAACAATGTTGGTTGCTTTGCTAAATTTAATTTGGTTAGAAGTTGTTGATTGATCTTAATTTAATTTCCATTGTGAGTTGAGATGCATACATGGTAGTCTCTATATGATTAGACGAAAGCGAAATAGATTCTTGTTGAACTGTGCCATAGAATCTAATGTTTGTTCTTCCTCATGGTATGTTAGGTTGGTTTTGTGGTTAGTTTGATTCAGCTTTAGATCTGCTTACTGTGAACCAACCAAGTTTTTGTTAGGCTTTAGCCTTCTCTTGTGTTGAGTGTAACAATTGAGCTTCCCACTTCACCATTTACAAAGTAGGCTACTGGCTGCTTGCTACATTCACTTGCTTTGGATTCAATTTCGGAGGAAAGTGCATTTTTTAGCTTAAAGATGCCCTAAATATTAACATCTTGTGGTTCTTACGCTTGCAAGTTATCGGAAAGCTACAATTTTCATTGGGAATATGAATCTTTATGAAGTCCAAGGCAACAACAATTAGATCATGGCAGCATTGCAGGATATGGAGTTCCAAAATTCTAGTGAATATGCAGCCAACTTTTAACTTTAAGTCACTATTCTTTACTCTTTTCGAGCGGATATCTGAATTGAATTAGAACTTAAGTGATTCAAAAACTCCTCTAAACTTATAGTACCTTTGTGAAGTTTGCTCTTTTGTTTGTCATAGCGATAGTGATATTGAATCCCTTGAAAGTAAAATGTGGGAACTCAAAATATCACTTTACTTTAACCTCATTTCAATTGCTTAGTTTCTTTGAATGGCTTTCTTTTAAATATTGAAGCACATCATCCCTTTTTGTTTCTCCTTAGCCCTTACTGATGGGTAGAATGATCAGTACGACTGAACGATAGGATTTTCTTGCCTGCGAATCATCTGTAATGCTAACCATTGTATATTGATGCTTTTAATTCCATAACAAAAATTTATCAAGATCTCCATGTACATATGCATTTAATGTAGCACATTTTCTTGGGGAACTGAACATCACCCGAATACGTGACTACATACTTTTTCATTTAGCTTAATTATGGAATGTTTGACTCTGCAGGCTAAAAGATCTTTATCACAGATGCAAAGACCCCATGGAAGGTTATGTCGGATGCATGTATTACTATACAGACGAATTTGATTTATGTCGCAAACAGCAGCAAGCTTTTGAGAAAGCATGCCCTTTGGAGTGATTGGCGAACAAACATTCCTAGTCCATGCTTGAAATAAGTTAGGCAGACCAGTTTGCAACGAGCAAAAACTGTTGTTGTCCTGTATTTATCCAAAAAGCATCGTCTCCCTTTTGCATGGTTAAAGATTGTTCTTGGGATTTTTTTCCAACTGAAAATGACTACACTGCCATTTTTGAACATAATCCATGATGGTTGATTCATTCATGATCTTTTCTCTTCCTTTTTTTTTTCTTTTTTTTGGTCTTTTCTGATCAGCTACCAAAGGAAATATAGGCTTCAAGAAACAAAACCAGGAAAACCTTGGCTGCTATGCTATTAGAATTCTTTAACCAAATTGAAGGAACATAATCCGAAATGAACAGGAGAGCTTGGTCTAGCACATCTTCAGCCTGGTGTCCCTTCTTGAACAAAACACAATTGAGTTGGTAAACTGGGAATGTTGTCCTGGTTGATCAGCATCTGACAACTTCTTAGCTCTCTTTGCCCAACTTTCTAAAACCTCAAATTATCTTTTTCTTGGACAATTCCAACAAATCTGTGCCTGTAAATACTTTAATTGGCTTCCTTTGTTTGAGGATGATTCTTTCTTTGGCCAAATATAAGCTCTAAATTCTTTCTTTCTTAACTGTATAGTATAATGAAAAGATATTAATCTTAACAAATTTTCTCATATGATAAAAAAAAAAGGATAAGGAACTCCTATGATCTAATCATCTCATGAACATTTTAGCTGGTGAGTTCATTGAATGGCAGCAAGCCTCACAAACCCAAAGTCAAAGAAGAAGACCCCATGCAATTTGTAGTCAATAGCTGGTGAAGGTGGGATTATGGATAATATTAATGTAGAAGCTTTGATGGAAAATCAAGTTGTCCATCACTTTATGATATCTTTAATCTTTAGTAAGTCTTTTAAACTCTCCCTTTCTACTTTATTATCTGCATAAACAAGGCCACCATGGCAGATATATTATTTTAATTCACTGGAGGAGATTGCATAATGTCTCTAATTGACAACAATGATTTGAATATTAAAATTTAAGCAAACACAAAGGAAAACTATCGTGAGGCAGAGCTTCATAATTACCATTAAGAAATTCAAAGGAAAGAGATGAGAGGATAAATGAATTTTGCAATTTTCAGCAGTGACATAACATTATCCTATTGCTAGCATTAAGTGAATAAAAGTAAGAAATTAAAAAAAAAAAAAGCCAAAGAAATTATGCATAACTACAAATTTTATTCATCTTTTAACTATGCCACATGCATTTGAAAGTATGGATATCAATCTTATTCATATTCAATGAAAATCTGATTTTTTATTCAAATAGAGATAGATATTACATTGTGAGTATAAAAATAGGGATAATTTTAAATTTTTATTCAGTATGAAAATGGAGAAGAATAATATAGCATTTGAACCATATCTATACCCTACATATATATTTATATATATTTAGTAAATAAATATAAATTATTATTTTAAATTAAATAAATTTCATATATTTTTATTAAAAAATATATTTATATATATTTATAAAAAAATTATCTAAATATATAAGATAAAAATTTTAATTTTAAAAAATAAATATTAGTTTTTTAAAAATATAAATATGAGGATTACTTATAAGGTTATACCTATTAAATATTCATGAAAATAAAAATAAAAATAAATATGAAACATCCGTTAAATATAAATACAAAAATAAATATAATAAATATATATATATTTTACTCTTGGTATATTCTATGTATTGACATTTCTGTACGAAAAAACTCATAAAATAGTAACTTTTGGACACTTTTGAATGAGGATAGTATTTTGTCAGTGGACTTGATTATTATCACGATTAAGGTGTAATCGAGTTGATACAGTGAGAAATTTAAACTCAAGTTCGACTCACAATTTAGGGTTCGATATTCAATTTGAACTCGATCGAATTTTATTTTTTAAGTTCGAGTTTGATACGTGATCGAATTCGAGCTATTCGAGCTCGTTCGATTAAGCTCGATTAATATATAAAAATAAACTCGATTCATATACTCGACAAAAGTTTGATTATTTATGCTTGAATTCGAACTCAAAATATTTTATTAATTAAAATAATAAAAATATATTTAAATATGAAAACTCGATTAGACTCGCGAGCTACTCGAATCGGATATAAAAATACTCGAATTTGACTCGATCGATAAGTTAAACTACTCGATAATAATCGAACCGAATTCGAATTTTCTTCGAATCGAACCCGAGTAATTTACGAATACTAATATATTATTTACACTCTTAATCTCGACTACTTTAACAAAACAACTTATGAGTTAAAATACTGCTAAAACAATATGGCCACACACATCATGGAATATTACAATTGCTCTCAGCTTCACAGGTTATAATTTCTAAATATTCATCTATAATATATATATATATATATATATATATATATAAAGGATGAATGAAATATATAGTTAATAATCTTTGTTTTGCTTAATGGTTTCAAAATTTGAATATATATATATATATACAAAAAATTATTAAATTTATTAATAGTGAAATTTTTAAATTTTGTGAGTGAGATTAACAAATAATTATTAAATATACATATTTTTAAAGTATATTAAAAAATACAATGTGTACCGGTCTTTTAACTTAGCTTGTGTAATTAAAAATTTTCTTAAATACAATAATAATAATATACTAAGTTTTATATTTCATAACTTTGGGATCGATTATATAAAAGGTAAAAAAAAAAAAATCATGTTAAGTTATAGTTTTAAATTTTCTTGTACCACTAATTTCTATAAAAAAAATTAATTTTTTCATTTATTTTCTTAACTCACCTATCATCTCTTATTATTTGCATTTATATTTTTCGTAATTTACTTTTAAAAGCTTTGGTCTCTCTCAAATCTAAAAATCTATTTCTCTTAACTAATGCATAAATAGACATATGTTTCATATGTTCAAACTATCTTTAACCACTCATTCATTTTTTTCTTAATTCAGAATTTTTTTAAAAATTTTTTTAGAATCTTTTAATTTTTTATTATTTCTTTTAATTTTATCACATATTGATTTAAGTATCTTCATATTAGTTATGTTTATTTTTTTAATATTATTTTTAAACGATCTAACACTCAATCCCATATATCAAATAATTTTTCAAAAATATATTTTAATAGCTTAATATTTGACTTTTTAGTTTGAGACTTGTAAGTTTCAACTTTCATAATTATTTTCTTTGGTTAAACTTTCATATTCCAATTATTATTTTCCTTGGTGATAAATTTATTATGCCTATTTTTAATATCCAAATCAAACAACAAACTATTGTCATTTATTGAAATGGTAATAAATAAAATAAAATTTGTTTATGTTCAAATTTATTATTGAAAACTAATAAAGTATTTAATAAATAATTTGTGAATAAATTTATTTTTTTATTAATTTATTAATTTTAATAAATAATATTTTATTAAATAAATAAATTATAAATATAACACAATTCATCCATATTCTATTTTTAATAAAAAATTATTATGTAAGAATAGATAAATTGATTCTATGATATCCATTGACTTTAATTTAAAGCATGCATACTATTTATAAATCATAAGTGGCTGAGAAATGGATATGGATTGAAACAATTATTAACAAACCCATTTTTATATGATAAATGGCATTATCTTTTCTCTTTTTCCTTTTATTTGGTGCCAGCAGCCTTGTTTAAAGTCTAAGCAAATATATAGTTTTTGTCAATAATTCTTGCTTCTTATGCAAACCTTGCTTTTAATAATGACCCCTTCCAACTTTATACAAATTTTAGTTTTTTTTTTTTGGTGTAGTAAATTTTAAAAATAGATAGATTATTCAGTCCTTTAGAGATTATAATAAGATGTGTCGTATTTGACAATCTAAAATAAATGATTATAGGTCATGCATTCGAAATAATTTCAATAAGTGATTACCGATAATACTCAAACTCAAAATCTTTTTGAATAAAAGAACAATCTTAATCGATTGAACAAAGTTAGTTTAATTTTTAGTTTTCAAACTTAACATGAACTATTATAATTAAAACCATTAAATTAAAGTACTTTTAACAAAAATATTTTTTATTTAATATGTTATTTTTATTATTATTTAAAAAAAATCATACATTAATTATGAAATTTTATTTATGAATGTCATCTTAATAAATGTCAATAAATACTTTTAAATATTTTTAAAACATTATATACTTTTAAAAACATTTTACTTTTGATATAATTATAAGTAGAGATGAAAAAATAGTTGAAAATCGTTTAAAAATTATAGTGTTCGGTTTGATTTAGATTAAATTTTTTATTTGGTTTGAATTATGTTTGAATATTAAATGTATATATTAAATTTAAATTAAATTTTGGATAAAAAATGAAAAAATAAAAAAATAAATGAGTCGAATTATATATTTTTATTATTTTTTATATATTTTAAATTTTTATAAAATAAAAATTAATAATTTTATATCAAAATCTATTTAAATATATTAAAATAAGATATAAAAACAAAAAATTTAAAATTTAAAAATTAATAAATTAAATCAAACTAAATTAATAAAATTTAATTATATTTACATTATATGAAAGATCGATTTAAATTTAGATAAAATTTTTAAAATTTATAATGTTATATAATATTTAAAAAATTAAACCAAATTGATATGATCTTATTGGTACCATTATCACCCATAATAATAAATTTTATTAACAAATTTAAATAGATACATGATGTAATAAAAAGTATAAAAATCATATGATTTTTTATTTAACATATATAATTTTTATATCTTATATACATATATAACACATATTATCAATTATATGTTAAAAGTTAAGCCAAAGCAAAGCAAGACCACCAAAATAATTGACTTTTGAGTTTTGACTTCTGACAAAGACTCTTATTCAAAAATATCCCGTTTTATTGGAGTAGACATGTAATCATAGCGCCTATTCGTCTCTTTCGACAACGATTCTCTGCCTTCCAATTCCCACGCGCTTCCCGTCCACGCAACCCCACCACCCGATGCGTGTCCTCCCCAGCTCGTGGCACCCTGATCTACCATGTCGCCTCAACAACCAGATTTTCGTCATTTTCATAGATTGATTAAAAATAAAAAATGCTTAAAAAAAAAAAAGAAGTCGATTGACTAGTCGCCACCTAATCTTTGAATCTGAGCCCGACCTCACCGTCGATTTCGTCCCTTTTTCATCAACTAATCCAACCACCAATCTAACCAAATCATCTGGAATTAGGTCTTTTATTGTTATGGAACAAGTTTCTTCTCCTCCAACGCAGACGTCGCCTGGCTCTCGTTGGTCTGAGGATCCAGAAATGGACGTGCATCTTCCGGTGACCGAAGCTGACCCGGCTTCCTCCTTTTGGGACTGGGGCGATCTCCTGGACTTCACCGTAGACGATCACTTCTCCATCTTCTTTGAGGACGAAAACTTATCTCCTTCTCCGTTGGAAGCTCCAGTTCCAGCTCCAGCACCGGATCCGGATCTGGATCCGGATCCAGTTCCCGGGTCCGATCGTGTCAGGAAGCGAGATCCGAGGATGATTTGTTCAAATTTTCTAGCTAGCCGGGTCCCGTGCGCGTGCCCCGAGATTGACGCGCAAATCGAGAAGCTTGAAGAGGAAGAGGCGGGGGTTCCAGGAAAGAAGCGAGCCCGAACTGGGCGGATCGGGTTAGGGACGTACAGATGCCAAGTTCCGGGTTGCGAAGCGGATATCAGCGAGCTTAAAGGTTACCATAGGAGGCATAGGGTTTGTCTCGGATGCGCGAACTCGAGCACCGTTTTGATCGATGGAGAAACCAAGAGATATTGTCAGCAGTGTGGCAAGTAAGCTCCGCTTCTCACTCATTAGGCTAAGCTTAAGTCTGCTTATTATTTATGCTTTGTTGTTGATTTTAAAGTAACAATCAAATGGAGCCTTGAAGTTGTAATTCAATTTCTCGTCTTTTTGAATCTGGCGAAATTCACAATTAGTTGTTTTGGTTAATATAAGTATGTAGAAGTGAAAATTTTGAATTGCAGACCATGAATGAACTTCTTGTTTATGGTTAAATGTCAAAGATAGATTTGTATTGTTGTTGTTGTTGTTATTGTTTCTTGTATTGAACTGTTTATTTTTTGTATAATTACTTGTCAGGTTTCACCTGCTCTCGGATTTTGATGAAGGTAAAAGGAGTTGTCGAAGGAAACTAGAGCGGCACAACAATAGACGGCGAAGGAAGCCTGTTGGTTCTAAGACTACAGTCAACAAGGAATCTCAAGGGGCTGTGCAAAGTGAAGACATTGCTTGTGATGGTGAAGCAGGAAAAGGTTCTATAAATTTGATTTAACTAGCTAGTTGTGGATGGAATCATCCTTTTTCTAGGAGCTGCCTGCAAGTTTTCCTTCCTCATTACATAATGTGTTATTTTGTGTTATACAGATGATTTAAGCTTGAGTGGCCCGATGGCTGAAGAAGAACCAGCCTTTGAGTCTGAAGACAGGCTTGTTTCTGCTCATTGCTCAGCTCCCATGTTGCAGAGTGTCAATAATAATAGTGTTGTAGCTCTTATTGAGACTGAAATGGATGGAGGGAAAGATGACTCCAAGTTTTCAATTTCTACTTCTTACTGTGACAATAAGACTTCTTACTCATCCATGGTGGGTTGTTTGATTTGTTCATGATAGCCTTTTGTTCATAAGAGGAAGCTTGCCAATGATATATTGATTTTCTGTTTCATTATAGTGCCCTACAGGCAGGATCTCATTCAAGCTTTATGATTGGAATCCGGCAGAATTCCCAAGAAGACTTCGGCACCAAGTATTTTAAAGAATTATTCTTACAGTTTAGTATTTACATAAGTAGATATTTTTTTGTGGTTAGAGACCTAAGGAATTTGATTGACATGTGGCTAACTGAATTGCAGATTTTTCAATGGTTGGCCAATATGCCTGTTGAGTTGGAAGGCTATGTACGCCCTGGTTGCACAATCTTGACTGTTTTTATTTCAATGCCAATGAATATTTGGATGAAGGTAATGGTTCAATTAGATGGTTCTTATTTATTCTCTTTTTAGGTTATATTATGTCATTGTATTGATCATGCAGACATGTCATACATCACACGCATAAATAGTTGAATTTAAACAATGTGAAGTGAAAAATCTTTGGCTGATCTTCCCTTAACTACATAGTTTCTGGAAGTCTTGAGTTGTTAATCTTGTATTTGTAACTTGCTTGCATTTATCAGCACAATGATCATTTGGTGTATGGTATATTCATCAAGTAGCTTATAATGTACCTAACAATGCAATTTGTTGTAATGTGGAAATTTTGATGCTTACTGTGGATGTGCATCAAGAAATTTGGATGTGCATCAAGAAAATTACATTCATGAAAATTGACTTTATAGACATTTCAGAAATGTGCTATTTTCTTGAGTTTTTTATGCCTTTATTTATATTTAATTAATGTTAATAGTGAATATGAGTTCAGGCCAACATTGTGATTAGTTTTTTTCTTTCAGAAAATTATCTTCTTGTTCTTGCAAGTCTTTCCTTCTCTTTCATGTTTTTGGTGGATTTGACAGGAAATTAACCTAAATTTTTCTTCTACCAAACAGTTATCTGAAAATCCAATGACCTACATGCATGACTTTGTCTTTACACCTGGAAGGATGCTATATGGGAGAGGCTTCATGACTATTTATCTTAACAACATGATTTTCCGTACCAGGAAAGGTGAGAATAAAATGTAAAATTCATGAACACTTTATTTTCATTTTATTTTACATTTAGATGCCTCCATTTGAAAAGCCTTGAAGTCGGTGGTTGAAATTTCTGGAAGATAATGTCCGGTGAATAAACTTTTCCCTCATTTGTGGTAATCTTCCAGCATCAACCAAGCAGCAAGCATGCAGCAGGAGTTAAGATTTTATGTCGTTGGATGGGCTCTTGATTTCATATTTATTCTAAACTGCTTCGTTTCTTGGTTTAAATTATTTGGTCTTATAGGTGTCTGCATTTGATTTATTTAGATCTCTTAGTGTGACTAAGGTCTCTTGTGTGTGTAGATGGAACTTCTATGGTGAAAATTGATGTGGAGGTGCAGGCCCCGAGACTTCATTATGTTCATCCTGCTTGCTTTGAGGCTGGCAAGCCAATGGAGTTTGTTGCTTGCGGAAGCAATTTGCTGCAGCCCAAATTTCAGTATGGATATTACCTTTATAAATTATTATGTATCTATGTGAAACTTTATCCTTCCTTTTGATCTTTATGGCCTTTACTACTTTTTTTTTCTTTCCCAAAAATATTTAGTTGACAACTCTATGAACAATCCATCTTTAACCCCTCATCTTCCTGCATCTAATTAATTTTTTATGTATAAGAAAATGCAGTGTGGAATGGGGCTATATGGTGCATTTCTTTAAAATTTCAGGATATTATTTAGCCCTCATATTGCTGTTATTCGTGATGATAGTGGTTTAATATTTTGTTATTTATGGTGGTCCAAAGTTCCTTTTTTTTTTGGGGGGGGGGGGGGGGGGGGAGAGCAGGTTGAAACTTGGAAATGCTGCAAGAAGGTCATATCGGACCTGAATATTTTTTTCAGCTCTTCCTTTGTGTTGTGCCAGTATAGTGACCTGTTATAATATAACGCTTAAGACAGATGATAACTATTCCAGGTTTCTAGTATCTTTTGCTGGAAGGTATCTGCCGTATGATTATTGTGTTGCAACCACACATGTTCAGAGTAAAGAGGATTTTCCGAGTTGTGATCATCGATTATACAAAATTTGTGTCCCTCAAACTGAACCAGATCTTTTTGGTCCCGCATTCATTGAGGTGGGTATCATGAAAGTTCTGTCTTAATATTTAGATTGTCGTCTCATCTCAAAGTGAATATTTGAAAAAGCCATTACAATCTGTATTCTATCTTGTTCAATGGACAGAGGAATTGTTATTCACATTAGATACATTTTCTTTGGCTATTGCTGGCATGTGATACAATTATTACAAATATATGAAATACTTTCCATCTCCTCTAAGTCGAGATACAATAAATTTATATCAATCTGGATGAGGTTTTCACATAATATGTTTGAGTTATCTCATTACATTTATGGATTTCTTTTGTAGGTTGAGAATCAGTCTGGTTTATCAAATTTTATTCCTGTCCTAATTGGAGACAAGGAAGTTTGTTCTGAGATGAAGTCAATACGGCAGAGGTTTGATGCATCTCTTTCTCAAGAAGAATCAAAATTTTCTCCCAATGGATCATTGCTAGAGGCATGTGAAGTGTCTACTTTGCGACAAAGAGCTTATTCTGAACTTGTTTTAGATATAGCGTGGTTATTGAGGGAGCCTAAATTGGAGAATTTTCGAGAAATTATGGCCTCTTCTCAAATTCAAAGATTCAATTGTTTATTGAGTTTTCTCATACAAAGTGAATCAACAGTCATTTTGAAAAAAGTACTACCAAATCTGAAGATTGTGGTGGAGACAACTGGGTTTAACGGAACTAATGATTCTGATATAAGGTTATTACAGAAATATATGGATTATGCTAGAGATTTCCTTGGTAACAAACTTCAAAAAGGTGAAAGTCCTGTGCTTCTTTCAGAGTACATCAAACAAGAAAGAAATTGGTATTCTCCAAGCAGCTTCAAAAAGGATGAGCTATCAGTTGTTCCAAATGTTTCCCAGGTGAGGACTGAAAATTTTGTTAAATAAGCCAGTTTTCATTTTCTTTTTCATTTTCTTGGTTCTGTATATTTTGGTTCTAAATAAAGCACAATGGTTTTGTATGATCCATGTAGCATGCACCACGTCAGTTGAAAAGTGTTTGCATTATCTTTTGGAAACCCCTCATTAGTTTTGTCTCTCCTTGTTGGCTGAAAATTCTACCCTAACTTCACTCTCATTTTTGTTCTGTGAGCTACACATTCTAATCCAAAATCCATTTGTTCTTTGATGGTTGGCTGAGGCACTCTCCATTCTCCCCCCTCCCCCCCCCCACCCCTTTCTCTTTTCCTCTTCATCCAAGTTTACCATCTTTTTCTTTCTTCTTACCATGAAATAAACATAGGAGTCTTTTGTGTATGATCATATTATATGTATCCCTATCTCGAGAAATTTCTGGCATAATGTTTGCTATGTAAATATTCCATATGTTTCAAAATTTCTCTACTGTTCTACAGATTTGGTGTTATGCCTCTATGAAATTTTGAGCAATCTGGTTTCTTAATGCATGAAAGCTTTTTGTCATTTCGGCTACTGAGGAGTGAGGAATAAATACATTTCATTGCAAAAGATATTGTTGGTAGAGTATAAGAGGGATTTTGAAAACCTCTGATGTCATATATCTAGCTTTTACATATCATACATATTTCCATGCTTATAATGATGTTTTATTTGCAGGATTTGGAGGAAAGAACTAATGGTAAATTAGGAGCAACGATGGCATCTACGAGTTTCACTAGATGCGAGACTGTTCCGCTTTTAAACAAAGATATTATCATGAATGTGAACCTCGGCAAGGAATGGCCGCGAAAATCTTGTAGTTCCATTTTCGCTACCACAGCATTGAGATCTCGTCCCGCTGTATTTCTAATTGCTACTGCTGCTATTTGCTTAGGGATATGTGCAGTCGTTTTCCACCCTAATAAAGTTGGTGAGTTTGCGGTAACAATTCGCAGGTGTTTGTTCGACAGGGTCTTAGATGTTGAATGAGGTAATCCAGCCAAACAAGTGCTACAGGTCTCATATGTATATATTTAATGTATGTTAGATTTGATGAAATCAAGCTGTCCGAAGCTTCAGCATGTGATTGTGTTCCCCCCAAGTTTTGAATCTGATTTCTGAGATTTATTTAACATTGTTTCCTCAATCCAAGTGCACCTGACATAATGGGGAATCTAGAATTTTCTGAAAGCATGAATGGCAACATGATGGTTGTTGAATGTAAGATCAGTGAGGGACCTCTGTTATTCATTGTAAGCAGTTTTAGGCCTTTGTATTTCCCTGTATTATTTTTGGTTGTATTCAATGGTTGTCTCTCAAAAGAAATAAGACAGTAGTAAACAAACTGCCCCTCCTGTTGAAATTATAGTATATTTAGGGAGCATCTGTTCAAGCATCTGTTATTAACTTTCTGGTCTTGTTCTTGGTTTTTAAAACAGGGAAAGAAAGTGCATAAGAGAAAGACAAAAACTGCAGAAAGGTTCTGCTACAAACTGGTCTTGAAACTGATTATTCCTAAGTAAACTTTCGCAGCCAATTACACATTGTATTTCCCATGGGAAAGTGCCTTTTTTTTTTTTTTTTTTTCCAATTTTTAACAATAAATTCTTTGGTCTATATGGGAATATTTTTAACATAGGCAACTTTTTTAAAGGTGGAAATCATACACTAAATTTAATCAACAATGAAGATAAAAAAATCCTTTATTTTTTTGGGCCAATAGGATAAAAATTAACTCTCAAATCTCAAGTCTAGTAAGATACTAATAAATTTGATAAACTTCTTAATTGAAAATTTATAAAGTCATTTTTTACAAAAAAAAAAAAAAAGGTTGTTAGTTACTCCTCCACCTTGTTTTCTAATTGATTTTTACAAAATTTAAGAGAAGAATTGTTTACTAATATTAATTTTTTTTTGTATAATTTAATGTTTCCTAATTTTTAATAGTAAAATGTAAAAAATCATAAAAAAAAATAATGTTAAAATATAAAAAATAAAATATTTAAATGTTAAAAAATACATAATTTTGAGATATTTAAAAAATGGAAAAAAAATTAGATGGATTTTTCTTTAATCACAAAAACCTAGGATCCATATCTGCGGATATTCTAAACCAGACGTGGCATCATCTCCGGCATTGGCGGATTATCTCTGGCTGATTGTTTTTTTCTTTCATACACTCTCTCAAGGAGAAGAAGAAGTCTTACACCTCTCAGCCAACTCAAGAAAACAGTCGATCAAATCAATGGCCTCAGCAACGTCTCGGATCATATTCCGCATAGTAATAGCGGTTCTCCTTCTCCTGGCTCTCTTCTATGTCGGCCGTCCTCTTTACTGGAAAATCTCCGCCACCATCCACGACATTCGCCACAACAAGCAAACCGTTCAACAAGGCAAATAAATAAACAAACCCACTTTTAAAACCCCTTCCTTTTTCTAATCCTTGCGTTGGTTTCTGATGAAAAAGCCTTCTTTTGCTCTTATTCCAATTTGTGCTTTAATTTCTGATGTTGTGTAAAAAAAAAAAAAAACCCATTTCTTAAAAAGAGCCTTCTTTTCTTTTTTGATGATGATTTTAGTCCATGTATTTGATTTCTAACATTGTTATTTTTGTTGGGTTTTTCAGGTCTTTCACAGATTATGCATGAGGCCCAGAAATCTGTTGGGTGGTTTCATGATGAATCCGACTCTGTAGTCCGTGGAGATCGCAGCAAACAGGCTTCAAGGAGATTGCTTTTTAAGGTTTTATGATGGGATTTTCCCTTTAAATCTTTCTTTTTCCACACTTATTGTTAACTTGTTATGTCAGTTAATGGGGTTGATCTGGGATTAGTAATTTTCTCTGGTTTAGTTCAAGCAAGTTACTAGGTTGTTTTGTTCCTGGTATAGCTTTCCTCTTTATTTTGTGTTCATAGGAAGTGTAAGAGTTCTGCTGTTGATTTTTTTCTGTGATTAAGTAAAGTTGTACTGTTTTTGATGCATATGTTTCATATATGGAACAATTGTAATGAATTTCAGTGATGCTGTAATCAGAATTTTATAATGAGATGATTATTATAAGATCTTGCATTTATCAGGTTTTCGTTTTCTTTTTAATTGAATCTTTGTTCATTACTCAATGCAAAGGAAATGTTTTCCCATATCAATCACATATTGATGAAATGATCGCTTTTTAAGACTTGAATGTTAGTTTTCACAGATTTAATATCTTATAGTTGGATAACTGAGTTTTTCAGGACCAGAAGAACTTCCCCTGCAGCTTTATTTTCATCAACACTCGAAATTTTCTTGACTAATCTGGTTGATATATACTACTATTGACAGCCATTTGTGTTTCATACTTGTTTAATACAGTAAGTTTTTGAGCTTGATTCCAGTGAACGATCTTATACTTGGCAGAAATTAGTTACTAAGAAGTTGTTTCATGGTTTGAGAATAGAGTTTGAACCTGACACAGAACTTTTGGATGGTTGGGTTCAATCTGATGCTGTATGAAGTTTGCTAAATAATTGGTACACACAGATATTGATGATGTGGTTTTGTTCATAACAAAAGCATCAAATAATTGAACCAGGATTAGTTTAGACTATGTTTGGATCGAGGGAAAAGGAAGGAAAGGAAGCAGAAAAACCTTTCTTTTGTTTTGATAAATTTTTAATTTAAAAAAAAGAAAAGAGGTGAAAACTCAATAACTTTTGATTTCTTTTATAATTCTCACTTTTTTAATATCCTAATTTGGAAAAAAAGCTAAGGATGGAGGAAAAGCTAAAGAAAGGAAAGTTGAAAAAATTTTATTTTTATAAAAAGATTATTATATTCTTTCTTTTATTAATATTACAAGCCTAGTAAAAAAACTTAACCATATCATAATTTTTTTGTAATTTTTTCAAAGTTATCTTTTTTTTAAGTAGGTTTCACGTGTTTTTTTCAATATAAAAATTTTTTGTAATTTTTTAGTGATTTGATTTTGATGAATGATTAAATATGAATAAACATATTTTTTGAGTTTATGAGATATAATGTTTTTATGTTATTGTATTTTTTATATTTAATAGTTATTATATGAATACATCGTCAAAGTGATAATATGTTAAAATTTTGGCAATGGCAAAAAAATCCATTAATGCATGCTTATAAACCATCTTTCTGTTTAACTTGATTAACAATAACTGATATAACAGTAATTATGAAATCATACAAAATAACAAATATATCATGATTCATGAGTACTCTAAAATTACAAGCAATGAACGGTTATAATTGAAAAAAATTATTATAATAAATTTTTTTTTTTTTAACTCTTTATTCAAACAATGAGTGTTAACGTTTTTTTCTTGATTTTTTTTATTAATTTTAATTATTCAAACAAGATATATATATATATATATCTTTTTTTTTATTTTAAAAAATTTTATTTTATTTTCCTTTCTTTTCTTTTCCTTTATAAATATTTATCCAAAGATTACCTTAGGTAATTCTTGCAATTATATCTAAAATTTAAATATCAATATTTATAGTGTTTTTTTTTTATAAAGTTTCAGAAATTTCAGAATTCACAACTTTTTTATTAAATTTCAAATATTTGTGTGGAGCGTCCAAACCAACCTCTCATCGAAATCATTGTCCAATGCTCATTAGGATATGGTAGAGTATTTTTCATTCTTAGTTTTAATTTTTTTATATTATATTTAATTATTTATTTTTGTATTTATATTTATGAATATTTTTAATTTATATTTATTTTTGTAAATATTTAATGGATATGAATCTATCATAATTTTTTAAAAATAAATAAATAAATAAAATTTTTTATTTTTAGTTTTTTGTACATTTATTTAATTTTTTATAAATATTATTTTTAGATACAAATATATTAATTTTAATTAATTTAAAATAAATTTTATATCATGAAATAAAAAATTAATTTATTAAATATATATAAATATATATAAAATAAGATACGAGTCGAATGTTATATTATTTTTATTCGTACTCATTTGATAAAAAATTTAAAATTATATTTATTATTATCTTTATCTCTTAAAATTTAATATTAATCTCTATTATCATTAAAATATAAAATCTGAATTCTCCGTCGAATTTGGTAAAATTAACATCCCTAATGCTGATGGCCATGGCAATTTTACTTGATTGTCTTGGGTTTTATGATAGCCACGTGGACGATAAAATCGAGTGAAACAACAATTCCAACATCTGATTTCAATAACCTGATTTATAAGTAATTGACCCAAACACTTAGGTTTGTTTTAAGTCATGGTCTGTTTTTTTTTTTTTTTTTTTTTGTCGGGAAAGATCTTCATTTAATAAGGCAAAAAATATCTTAAATATGTAAAAAAAAAAAAAAAATCCTTTTCCTGCCAAACATTTTCCCGTTGGGTTCACTTGTGATTTAATATCTAAATTATACTATTTTTTATTATTTAATATTTATAAAAATTCACTAAATTTATTAAGAATTATATTAAAAATAATATAATTCTAAAGTCCAATTACACATTAATCCTTCCAAATTCAACCTGTAAAAGATAGCAGCATATATATTAGAAATGTTCATATTTATATATTTATATATTTTTCCTGTCAGTATTTAGCAGCAGTCAATGGTTGTAACCATTACCACGGTAACCATAGTAACCCTAGTTGTTCCCTGTTGAATAACAGTTGTAAGAAGCTTACTGGTCAGACGACCTTTGTTCCAGAATATTGTCATGGAAGTGCTGTTCCTGCTTTATCTCAAACAGTACTGTCAAGGATAACCGAACATGTTTCACATATCTTTTCTTTGTAGTTCTTTTAGTTAGGAATGATGTTGATGTAACAGTTTTTTCAGTTGGATCAAAGCAGTTGTTTGATTCCTGTCATAATTTGATGTAACAGAATGGTGTGGCAGAGAAATTCTTGGATAGTTATAGTTTTGATCATACTAGTTTTTGGAGTAAACTTTTACATTGTTCAGGCCAAGTCTCATCGGATTCTTTTGGATACAGATGTCAATACTGATGATTTCTTTGCTCTCTTGTACCTCTTGAAGCTTGAAAGATCAGAATTCGAATTGGAGGTGAACTATTTTACTCTGATTTAATTTTCCTGATCAATTTTTTTTTATATGTAAAAATCCCATGTTTGAAGCTTTTAATCCTTTTAAGAAAAAATCTTTTATGACAGTGAATCTGGTAATTGCAATTCTGATATGCAGGCAATCACTATCAACACAAATTCATGGAGTGATGCTGGGCATGCTGTGAATCATATATATGACTTGCTTTACATGATGGGTCGCAATGACATAGCTGTTGGAGTAGGAGGAGAGGGTGGAATCATGGAAGATGGTACCTTACTACCAAATGTTGGTGGACATCTTCCATTAATTGAACAGGTAAATCTCTTCTCCTTCCAATTATATATTAGACTTAGATTTATGCATTGAGTGAGGAGTTTTTTGTGGCTTTTCTCCTTCCAAAAGTCACATAATTTGGGTTTGGAGTAGGACACTTTGGGTTTGGTGTAACCAAATATATTTGTGCGTTTTTTCATTTAGGCTTGCTCTATTGTTTGTGTGTTTGGATGTTGCGCGTGCTTGTTTGTGCCCAACACCTCTTATATTTTTGATGATATCTTTTTCCTTTTCCAGAGAAAATGTTATGTACAGATTAAAAACTCTCGCTTGGAATCCTTGTTTGTTGTTTCTGCTTATATTTTGCATGTTGTTTGTAATTTACTTACCAGGGGATGACAACAGCCGGAGGTTGTAGATATAGGCAAGCAATTCCGGTAGGCCTTGGGGGACGATTAGATATAGACACCAACTTTGGCATTCGAAAAGCATTCCTTCCACGGGTATGAAATTGTAAATAAGGAGAGATTGTTCATTAGCAGCCCAGGGAAGCCTGGAGCTGAAGAAAGAATGAAATTGCAGTTCATTTATTTGTGATTTAAGACTTCCATTTTGGCCCTATCATTTAGATTTAGAGCTTATGGTTTCTCCATGGAATCAGGGCAGCAGGAAATATTCTCCTCTTCAACAGCCTACTGCTCAGCAAGTGATGATTGAAAAAATATCTGCAGGTCCTATTACTGTCTTCTTAATTGGAGCTCACACGAATTTTGCCATTTTTCTCATGAATAATCCACATCTCAAGAAAAATGTTGAGCACATATATGTCATGGGTGGTGGAGTGCGGTCCAAAAACACAACAGGTTGCTGCCCGCAAAATGCTAGCACGTCTTGCGAGCCTAGCCAGTGTGGTTACCCTGGTAATCTGTTCACAGACTACAACAGTAATCCTTATGCTGAGTTTAATATCTTTGGAGATCCTTTTGCAGCATATCAGGTAACCGAAGAAATTGATTTGTTAATAGAATCCGTGTTGACTGACTGCATTTGGTTAGAGTCCTAAGATTAACAAATGTTTGCTAATATTGTAGGTTTTTCATTCTGGTATTCCAGTCACCCTTGTTCCTTTGGATGCAACAAACACCATCCCGATAACTGAGGAGTTTTTCAAGGCTTTTGAGGAGAGCCAGGGAACTTATGAGGCAGAATATTGTTTCCGGGCCTTGAAAATGGCTCGTGATACTTGGTTTGATGACCAATTCTACACGGTACCCCTTCTGCAAAATGCTTATGCAGCATTCTCTTAATCCATGCCGAAAGAAGTTTCTAAAGGATACTGATAAGTGATATCATGTTTCCATTAGTTACCAACTTTGTAATGCATATGTAACACAATGTTTTCCTTTATTGTTGCTACCATCTGCAGAGCTACTTCATGTGGGACTCCTTCACATCCGGTATAGCAGTCTCAATCATGCGTAATTCAAACAAGAATAAAGGGGAGAATGAATTTGCTGAAATGGAATACATTAATATAACTGTAGTTACTTCAAACAAGCCTTATGGGATATCTGATGGTTCCAATCCATTATTTGATGGCCTTAAAGTTCCAAAGTTTGAATTGAAGAAAGATGGAGTGCATAGTGGTCATGTCCAGACAGGACTTCGAGATCCATTTTGCTTTGTAGAGAATGAAAAAGGGAAATGCAAGGTAAACTGTTTCTGTCATTTGAGGCATAATGGAAAACATTTTAGTAAATGAAACAAAATATTTCTACTGCACCAGCATAGAATCCAAACTCTTTTCTTTTCAATTCTGGTATCAGATTATGCCGAATGGTAGATATTTTTTAGGTGATAAGTAACTCCTTTAGTACATCTTTACCTTTACAACTATCTAATAGTTACTGACTATATGGGGGATTTGTTGCATTATAATCAAATAGGATGGTTACACAGAGGAGGTAACTGGTCCAGACGCAGTTCGTGCTCTTGTTGCTACAAAGGCAAAAGCTAATCAGGATGTTGGCAGCAAACTTGATCGAGAATTTTACATAAGTTTTTTGGATGTAAGTTCTTAACATTTTTCCTTGAGAGGTTGAAGTTTTGTTATTTTACTATGGTTTGTCTGATATTTACTGATGATATGTCAGAGGTTCTTTTATACTGTTCTTTTGTTGATATTTCTAATTAGAAGATGCTGATAGTCGAAAGTGATGCTATTCTCATATTTTCTTTTGCAATGATCTGTGTACTAATGAATGTCATATGCATTGCTGGATGGCAGGTTCTAAATCGACCTGAACATTCCGGGAGGTTCAATCTTATGACAGAATTTCCTTATTACAGAGAAGTTCTTTACAAACCAGATTTTAAACACAAAAAGTTGGGAAAACCTGTTGTTTTTGATATGGATATGAGCGCTGGAGATTTTCTGGCTCTATTTTATCTCCTCAAAGTGCCTGTGGAAGTTCTCAACCTCAAGGTAAATGGTTTCAGTTTGATCAGTTTCACTGGCTATGAATCATATCCACATTAAAAGCTTAACTGAGATGTAAGCCTGGTTACCATCTGAATGACATAAAAAATGCATGCATGAGCTCTGAAAAGAATGGACATAAATGGCTTAATCAGCTGGGCACACATTTATCGGAACTGCTCTTATTAAATGATTGCATTAAGCGATTAGTATATAGAAGAAAATAGGTTTGACCTTGATGAAAATGGAAAGAACTTGGTTTGGCAATTACATGATGAAGCAGCAGGTTTGATGTCCATGGTCTTTCTCCTTATCCAGGCAATATTAGTAAGTCCAACCGGTTGGGCTAGTGCTGCAACACTAGATATCATCTATGATTTACTGCACATGATGGGCCGTGATGACATTCCAGTTGGTCTAGGAGATGTATTTGCAATGAACCAGTCTGACAAAATTTTCTCCTATGTTGGAGACTGCAAGTATGCTAAGGCTATCCCTCATGGAAGTGGGGGATTCCTGGATTCTGATACTCTTTATGGGCTAGCTCGGGACTTGCCACGAAGTCCTAGAAGGTGTTCTCTTATATCCTTCTTGTTCATTCTCACTCTATTTCCTGTCTGAAGAGCTTAGAACTGAAATATTTTGACTTTCACTGCAGGTATACAGCAGAAAACTCAGTAGAATTTGGAGCTCCTCGAGATACTGATCACCCTGAACTAAGACAACCTCTGGCACTGGAAATTTGGACTTCAATATTGAAAACTTTGGATCCTGGATCTAAAATTACCGTATTGACCAATGGACCTTTGACTAGTTTAGCAAAGATTATAACTGCAACAAAAACAGCTTCACTAATTCAGGTACTTGGATTTGTCTTTTCCTTTTGTTCTGCTATGTGAAACACATGGAAGGAGTTATGAGTGACAATGTATCACAAACTGGAAGTTAATGAAAGTTTTCCAGGAATCAACTCTTCTGTCGATAGTTATTGACCAATATTCTCTGTGGGATACTCTCAGAATCCTGAAGCTGATGGCTTTGATATGTACAAGTATTTCATAAGATTATGTTTGACGTAATGAAATCAACTATTTATTTTCAATCTAATTGCAGAATGTGTATATTGTTGGAGGACATATCAGCCGAAGTAGCCTTGATAAAGGAAATGTCTTCACCATTCCTTCCAACAAGTATGCTGAATTCAATATGTTTCTCGACCCGTTTGCTGCAAAGACAGTCTTCGAATCTGGACTAAACATCACACTCATTCCACTCAGCACTCAGCGCAAAGTCAGTCTGTTTGCAGAGACTCTTGAGAGGCTGGAGCTGACAAGGACTCCTGAAGCTCAGTTTGTCAAGCGTCTGTTGTTCAGGCTATACACTTTGCAGCAAACTCATCACAGATATCGCCATATGGTAAAGTTTCTGATCTATGAATAAACTGCCACAGATTAAAGAGCTTAATCCTAACCTTCTTGCTGTTGACTAAAAGGAACTTTCTCCATTGGGGAACCCTCCAGTTTATCCTTGTTTCCCTTCTTACTTTCTTCTGCTTTGGCTACAACTGAATATCTTTCATTTCAGGATACATTCTTGGGTGAAATCCTTGGTGCAATATTCTTAGGTGGAGATCATTCCAGTTTGAAACCCACCATTCAAGAAATGCCCATCAAAGTCATTGCTGAAGGTGTTACATCCAGGGATGGACAGATTTTGATTGATAAAAAGCGAGGCAAATTAGTAAAAATATTGAAAAACATTGACCATATGGCCTATTATGATCTATTTGCCAACAGATTGGGTGATGAAAAGCAGTCTGCTGTATTAGGAAGCTATGATGAACAGAGAATAATGTGGAATACTCCACCTAATCAAACTTCAGAGTTCCGATTAAGGGTCGGATTTTGTTTCCTAGACAACAGAAATTCAAGTTTAGTTTCATGATAGTACAGTAGCTTTATTTGTATTGCTCATTGTTCATAGTAGAATCTCCTGAAGGACCATGTTTCAAATAGAATAAATAATTGTGTTTTATATTCAGATTAATGAAGGAAAACAGGAAAACTCATACCAGTGGTCCAATTGTCTGCAAGACTTTGTAGTTCTTATACCAGTGATGGTAACTGTTTTCTGGATGATGCAGATACTAAATCAAGAACATCCTTAACGAGTGATTGATTTGGGGTATCAGTTGCTTGTGGTACGAGGGATCCGGAATCGGTCTCAGACAGAAGTAGAAGTGTAGCCATAACTTCAGTTTCTGAATCATCATCATCACTTGTATCCAAAGTTATATAAGCGGCTGAGTTATTCCGAGTCTTAAAATAACTTTAAATATCTTTGAATTATAGTCATCATTCATTGTGCAATCTTTAAAACATTGACCAATAGGCATAGTGATTAATTAACCAACAAAATTTAGAGTCTCAAAGATACTCCTTTCAGGGACCAGATCAATTGATTTTTTCTCTTTTTGCCATTTTTTTTTCATTTTTTAACAAAATAGTGGAAAAAAGGAAAGAAGAGTCCACTAATTTCCAAGTTTCTGTCCATCAGTTTGGCAGCAGAAAAAGAGACACCCCCAACAGAATCATATCTTCATAAATGGATTTATATTCCTACAATGGGGAAAGAGAAAGAAGGGTAGAAGAAAAAAAGGAATTTGGCTGTCATTTATATAATCAGATTGAACCAAACAGTTCTTTTGTTGCCTGTTTATATCTTTGAAAGTCTGGATGCCAACCAAGAATGTTGATGGATCCTAGACTACTACAGACAATAGTTTTTGGAATTTAATGTGGCATGTGGCATGAAACTACATGCTTTTTGTTTTATTTTAAAAATTGAAATTGTCGGGATTTGAATACTATATTCACCAGAATTAAGAGCTTAATATTTTATTAACGAATTAATAATTGAGGAAACGACATGCTTTGCTGACGCTGATGGTATCTGTTTCCAACAATGGCAACAGGGCTCTCGTATAGCAGGAAGATTAGCTCGCTGCTGTCCCGCATAACATCAGACTTAGGAGTAAATTGCGTAAAGTAAAACAATGATGATGGCCAACACCCTACTTTGGGGATTATATGCCAGCAATTCAGTATTCATCTGTATTAACAGTCATGTAATCATCCCGACATGCGCCACGTGCGCGAACTCCCGTGTGCATGTGTGTATGCATGCCTTCTATTACCATACGATGGATCTAGTTTTAGCTCCTTTTCTGACTCTTTGATCCATTTTCAAGCAGCATCATATAACAGTCTTTCTCCCACGAATGCCTGATAATTTATGTATATGTATAGTGTTTATGTCGTGTCCAATATGTGTAAAATACAAAAAATTTTATCAAATTTATATCGACATGATAAATATATAAAACATTAATTTTGTTTTTAATAAATTCATAATTTTTATTAAAATTTTAAATGATATCACTATCATGTATTATTTTAATATTTTTTTATTGTGTCATCATATCTATGAGATGCATAGGTTTTATTATCAGTTTTCCTACATCACTTGCATAAAATATTATAGAACCACCTCAAGTCCTTCACAAACTGAGCAAGAGTCAAATTAAATGGAGGAAAAGTTAGTAGTGAAAGAGAAATATCAACAGAAAGATTCTTTTGAGGTTAGGGAGTGAAACTAGTATGAAATCTCTTCTTCCATGGAAGTCATTCAACCACAAGCTAAAACACCCCAAAATTTTGCTTTCTCTTCATGTTGATGATCTTCAAAAACCCATTTCCATCATAGGAATTGACCCACCAGCTCCCACAATCTGTTGCTCTAGCTGAAGTAAACAATAATGTCTCGAAAAATGAGTAAAAAAACAAGGGAAAAAACAATAACTGAAGTCATAGATGAATCAATGTACTAACCCTGAACAGAGTTTCAAGCTTGTTCTTCACCTGTTGAAGACATCTCAGGCACCTGAAAATTTTTCAAGGTTCATAAAATTTTGAGTAAAAATAAAGAGGAACAGTAAAGGAGAGTAAAGCAACTCACCCTTCAATGTTCTGCTCCTCACAGAAGCTGCGGAAAGCAATGCAATCATTTTTAACTCTTTGTGCCCCAATGCTGTTTAAACACAAACAAGAACCAATGGCTCTCATGAAACAACAATGAGCAAAAACAGGAACAAATCTAAGAATCTTGGTTCTTTTTCTTGTTTTAACCTTATTTTCACTACCACTTGAACAGTCAGATGTAGCAAGTCAGGCCTTTTCATTTGAAAAAGCCCACTTTTTTGTACTGTAACTATGGGGTCACAAGGCGGATCAGAAATGTGAAGGCCTGTTCCTTAAAACTAAAGAAAGGAAATTTACGAGTACCTGGAGCTGCTACCCTTCAATTGATGCACATGGAATCAACTTTTTAGAAGTCTACATTTGGCTGATCTCTGTATAAAAAAAGTTGAGAAAACAAGAGAAATCTGTTAGGAAAATGGGTTCCAGTCCCATATCAATGGTTTTGGACCAAGTAAAGGCCATGGGCTTTGATCTTTTATTTTACACAGAGCTCTAGCTACTTAATAAAAAAGAGGTGGAGTTGTTTTATGTGTGGTCGGAAAACCAAGCAGAGAAGAAGAAAAAGTCAGGAAAAGCAGAGAGAGAAAAAAGAGAAGGGAGAGTTGTGTTAAACGGAAGTCAATTCTGTGGTCCGATTAAGTTGGAACCTTGTCAGGAGGTTTATGATTCAGAGTTTTCTACATCTGAACGCGTGAAGATCGAGAGTTTAAAGCATCTCCTAGAAACAATAATATTGAAGTCAACTTAAATTTTGGTAGATATTTCTCCAATTGTTTCGTCTAGTTGTTGATTTTATCTCTAGTTTTAGCTTTAGAGAAGAACTTTGTATAACTATTATTGATAGTGAAGATTTTTTCGGTGAGCCCGTGGTTTTTTCCCTCTACACTGGAGGGTTTTCCACGTAAATCTTGGTGTGCTTTATTTTTCCTGCGCATTTGATTATTGATTGTTGTCTATTGCTTCTGTATTGTTGTGATTATTGCTTCAGGCGCAACAAGTGGTATCAGAGCGAGGGTTATTTTGAGACATCGATACAGAAGCAACCCAGGATAGAAGTAAATTCTGTTTGAGATCATGGAGGGTGATACAGGTTCCATGATAAAATTGACAGCATCGAATTATTCAATTTGGAAGCCTATGATGGAGGATCATCTATACTGCAAAGATTTGTATGAGCCAGTATTGGGTGATTCGGCTAAACCAGCAGATATGAAAGATGAAAGCTGGAAGAAGCTAGGTAGAAAGACGCTGGCTACAATAAAAAAATGGGTTGATATCAGCGTGTTCCATCATGTAGCGCAGGAGTCAGATGCTCACATTGTTTGAAAAAAATTGGCAGCATTGTATGAGAGAAAAACAGGTATGAATAAAGTTATGCTTGTTAAAAAGCTTGCAACTTTTACAGTACAGGGATGGACGATCTGTTACAGAACACTTGAGTGATTTTCAAGATATATTTAATCGGATGACTACTATGGAGCTTAAGATGGATGATGAAATGAAGGCATTATTTCTTTTGGGTTCATTGCCAGACAGCTGGAATACTCTAGTTGTGACTGTTCTTAATTCAGCTCCTGATTATAAGGTGACATTAGAGATGGTAAATGACAGTATGCTTAATGAAAAAGTAAGACGAAAAGATGTAGACCCTGGGAATCAAGCTCTGATCACAGAGAACATGGGTAGAAACATTGACAGAGGTCAAGACTTAAAAGGTCGTGGTAAGTCTAAACATAGATCCAAGTCTAGAGGTAAAGTGAAGTGTTTCCATTGTGGTAAGGCTGGTCATATAAAACAAAACTGTAGAATCTTAAAACAAGAGCGAAAAGATGAGAAAGGTAAGAGTTCAGATGATGATAATGTTACAGCAGTGAATTCAGATAGTGATTCAGTTACTTTGATTTGTACACATGGTGATTGTAATCATGTTAGTGATCCCGGCATTGAGTGGATAGTTGACACAGGAGCGGCATATCATTGTGTTTCTAAGAGAGAGTTATTTACAACTTACAAAACAGGAGACTTTGGTTGTACCAAGATGGGAAACAAGAGTGTGTCGCAGATTGTTGGAATTGGTGATATTATTGTACAAACTAGTACAGCTGCATGTTGACTTTGAGGGATGTCAGACACATTCCAGATATGAGAATGAACTTGCTTGCTATTAATGTCCTTGATAAGGAGGGATATGAAAGCCGACAAAAGAATGGACAGTGGAAGCTTCTCAAAGGATCTATGGTAGTTGCAAGGAGAAAACTATGCTGCACAATGTATAAGACATGGATGCAATTGAACGGTAACCAGGTAAATACCGTTGAAAATGATGCTTCAGCAAACTTGTAGCACAGGAGGCTGGCACACATGAGTGAAAAAGGGTTACAGGTTTTGGCAAGGCACTCTCTCATTCCCTTGACCAAAGGTATGTCTCTCGATTCATGTGATTATTGTTTGTTTGGTAAGCATCATAGAGTTTCTTTTCGTAAAAGTTCTCAGAGAAAAGAAAATAGATTGGAATTAATTTATTCTGACGTATGTGGTCCCATTGAGGTTGAGTCATTAGGTGGTAGCAGATATTTTGTTACTTTTATTGATGATGCTTCACGTAAGACTTGGGTGTATATGTTGAAATATAAAAGTCAGGTACTGCAGTATTTTCAAAAATTTCATGCCATGGTTGAAAGGATGACAGGGTTACCCTTGAAGTGTATTCGAACTGATAATGGTGGGGAATACACATCTAAAAGCTTTGAAGAGTATTGCTCAAAGCATGGGATCAGGCATGAGAGGACAGAACCTGGAACACCGCAGCATAATGGTATAGCTGAAAGAATGAATCGCACCATTGTGGAAAAAGTCAGATGTATGTTGAGGATGGCAAAATTACCAAAGCCATTCTGGGGTGAAGCAGTCAACACAGCTTGTTATTTACTTAACAGGTCACCATCAGTTCCTTTGGGCTTTGACATTCCAGAAAGAGTGTGGACAGAGAAAGATACTTCATACTCTCACTTAAAAATTTTTGGGTGTAAAGCATTCATGCATGTGCCGAAAGAGCAGAGATCAAAGCTTGATAGTAAAGCTACACAGTGTGTGTTTTGTAGGATATGGTGATGAGAAATTTGACTACAGGGTATGGGATCCAGTAAAAAGAAAGACAGTCAGAAGCAGGGATGTGGTCTTTCATGAAAAAGAAATCATAGCAGACTTTGAGAAAAATGAAAAGACTACACGAGTTACTGTTGAGTGTGACATTTCAACACCGACAGGGATTTCACAAGGAAAAGCCACAGATGATGAAAATGAGCAAGAAACAGAACTTGGAGATATGAATGAGCCAGCCACAGTTGGTGATGAGCCAGATGCTATTAATTTTGAGTAGGGGGAGCTACCTTCGGGCATCAAGTGATATAGAGTCTCAGCCCAGGAGATCTACTAGAGAGCGCAGGCCATCTACCAGGTATCCAAGTTTAAATTTTATTTTAGTTACCAGTGAAGGGGAGCCAGAAAGCTTTCAAGATGTGCAGGCTACTCCGGATAGAGAGCACTGGTTAAAAGCAATGAAAGAAAAGATGGAGTCATTGCAAAAGAATGGTATTTATAATCTTGTTAAACTTCCAACAGGGAAGAGGCCATTAAAGAATAAATGGGTGTTCAAGTTGAAAAATGATGGTGACAAACTAGTGAGGTACAAAGCTCGATTGGTAGTAAAAGGTTTTTCTCAGAAACCAGGCATCGATTTTGATGAGTTTTTTGCTCCAGTTGTAAAAATGAGTTCTATTTGAGTGGTATTGGGATTGGCAGCTAGTTTGAATCTTGAGCTTGAGTAACTTGATGTTAAAACTGCATTTTTGCATGGTGATTTACAGGAGGACATTTATATGAATCAGCCTGAGGGTTTTGAAGTGAAAGGGAAAGAGCACTTAGTTTGCAAATTGAAGAAAAGCTTGTATGGCTTGAAACAAGCTCCGCAATAGTGATACAAGAAGTTTGATTCTTTTATGGTGAGTCATAGCTATAAAAAAATAGCAGCGAATTCTTGTGTGTATGTTAAACAATTCTCTAATGGTAACTTCATTATCCTATTATTATATGTTGATGATATGTTGATTGTAGGATAAGATGCTAGTATGGTTTGCAGGTTGAAAGAACAATTATCTAAGTCTTTTGATATGAAAGATTTAGGTCCAGCAAAGCAGATTCTTGGTATGGACATTATCTGGGATAGGAAAGTTGGAAAGCTGTGGTTGTCACAGGAAAAGTATGTTGAACGAGTGCTTGGTAGATTTAACATGCAACATGCTAAATCAGTTAGCAGTTCACTTGCCAATCATTTTCATCTAAGTAAAAAATCTTGTCCAGTGTCTAAGGAAGAGCAACTAGCTATGTCTAGTATTCCTTATTCTTTTGCAGTCGGTTCTTTAATGTATCTTATGGTTTGTACAATGCCTGACATTGCTCATGCAGTTGGTGTAGTGAGCAGATTTCTTTCTAATCCAGGAAAGGTTCACTGGGAAGCAGTGAAATGGATTTTTAGATATTTGAGGGGTACCTCAAAAATGTGCTTGACTTATGGAGTTTCACAACCAGTTCTAGAAGGGTTTACTGATGCTGACATGGCAGGCGATCTTGATGGAAGAAAATTTACTTCAAGGTATTTGTTCACTTTTGCAGGAGAAGCTGTATCTAGGCAGTTTAAGTTGCAGAAATGTGTTGCTTTGTCAACTACAGAAGTTGAGTATATTGCAGCAACTGAAGCATGTAAAGAAATGCTTTGGATGAAACGTTTTCTTCTTGAATTGGGGTTGAATAAAAAAGAGTATGTGGTATTTTGTGATAGCCATAGTGCTTTAGATTTGAGTAAGAATATCATGTACCATGCTAGAACAAAGCATATTGATGTTAGATATCACTGGTTACGTTCAGTGATTGAAGAACAGCAGATGCTATTGAAAAAAGTCCATACTGATAAAAATGTGGCAGATATGTTGACTAAGATACTTCCCAGGGAAAAACTTAAGCTTTGTAATAACTTGGCCGGAATGAGTTCCCTGGCCAAGGTAAGTTCCAAATGAAACTGCTATGGTGATGAATCTCCTCTTAATGGGGCTGGAGGGGGAAATTGTTAGGAAAATGGGGTTCAGTCCCATGTCAGTGGTTTTGGACCAAGTAAAGGCCATGGGCCTTGCTCTTTTATTTTACACAGAGCCCTAGCTACTTAATAAAAAAGATGTGGGGTGTTTTTATGTGTGTGTCGAAAACCAAGCAGAGAAAGAAGAAAGCCAGGAAAAAGGCAGATAGAGAAAAAGAGAAGGGGAAGTTGGATTTTAAACGGAGTCAATCCGTGGTCCATTAAGTTAGAACCTTGTCAGGGGTTTATGATTCAGAGTTCTACATTCTGAACGGTGAAGATCGGGTTTGAGCTCTCTAGGAACAAATCCATGATGTATTTTGTTGAGTCACTTATTTGATGATGATTTCTGGGCCAATTGTTCTCTAGTGTTGATTTATCTCTAGTTTTATAGCTTAGAGAAGAACTTTGTTATAACTATTATTTGATAGTGAAAGATTTTTTCTTGGTGGCCCGTGATTTTTTCCTCTACATGGAGGGTTTTTTCACGTAAATCTTGGTGTGCTTTATTTTTTCTGCGCATTTGATTATGGATTGTGGTCTATTGCTTTTGTATTGTTGTGATTATTGCTTCAGGCGCAACAAAATCAAAGGTTTATCTTATAAAGGAAAAAGCTGAAAAAAAAAAAAAAGGTGCTGCTATGGCTAGAAGAAAGTTGACTCAAAGTGAGTTCTTACAAAGCTATGGTGAGATCATTGTGAAGTTCTCATAATCATCAAAGAAGAGAGACACTAATTCAACAACAAAATCTCGGTTGCTCTCATCTTGAAGCTGCTGTAGCTGTAAAAACTGACCATCCAAGAACCCTTCTCACACCATTCAACACCAACAAAAACAACCACCAAAAAAAGTATCAAAACAAGCTTAAGCAAAGATAAAAACAACACAAAACAAACAAATCAAACATACCAAAACGAGGAAAATGAACCCAAAAATGAGATTTTTGTTAACAAACTTGTACATTTTTAGTTCTTTTTTTTTTTCCTTTTTTTTGGGTTTACCTCCATAAACAAGGATTTTGTGTGGTCCACCAATCTTCTCTGCATCTGACCCACCTCCATTCTCCTTGCTTTTGTTTTTTTCCCCTCTCTCTGTCTCTCTGCAAACAAGCACAAAACCAAATTCCCACTAATACAAGCAATATGACCCAACAAAGCTGAAAGCTTGTGGCTTAAATTTTAGATCTTTGGATTGGAAAATGTAATGGAATTATAGCACAATAAAAAAAAAAAATAGGGGGTACAAATGCTTTTACAAACCTTTGAAAGGGATTTGAAGAAATTAATGTGTTAAGAACAAATTTATAAAATATTTCCCTTGACAAGAAGTGTATAATGCATAGTCCCTGTGTCTCCTTAAACTTAGCAATTAAAACTCATACTAATTAACTTGTAAAAATTAAATAATAACAAAGTGATTAATAGTATTTGAATAAATTTCACAATTAAAATTTTGACTATGGCAATGGAAAATTTCCAAGATAAAGAATTTGGGTGTCTCTGAAGATTTAGATTAATTATAAATAGATTACGAGTTCTTCCAAATCATAAATCTTCATTAAGAAAAAAATTTACTATATCTTTTAATGTAATTCAAGATGAAAATATTGACAATAATAATGTCTGCAATCTAACAATTTTAATTTCAAATATCATATTGTTACACGATTTAATTATATAATATAATATTAAATATTTTAAAATTTAGATATCACGTTAAAAATAAATTTTAAAATTCATGTCCAAAACAGGTCTGCATCAAGCTCTCAAGCTTAACCGACTGCATAACCCATGGACATATCTATTTTCCTTCCATACATATATAGAGTTTTCTTTATTATATATGCATATCTTTTGATGAATAAAAGATAATTATGATTATGTTGTTAAAGCTCCCATAAGCATGCAAATTGTTCCTTAGCTAACTTGATAGCAACATCACAATTGAAAAAGAGAGAGAGAGAGAGAGAATCAAATAAAATGGTGCAGCAGAGGATTATGGAGCTATCAGAGCCTCCAAATATGGAGCTACCAGGGAACGGGTCCTGTCATTACAAGCTGGAAATTGCTTGGTTGGCTGCTATGTTGCCCTGCTTCATATTCATACTTTAAGACTAATCGGTATAGTGTTGTTTATTTCTCTCTATACCATTAAAAAATAAAAAAATAATAAAAAAAGAAAACACTTTTTTAAGGTAACATTATTCAAATATAATTTGTTTTTAATACAATGAAAATATATATTTTTTAATTTCACAAACGACGTAACATGAAATAGTCTCCTATTTTCTTTAAGTTCAAAATGGCAATAAAAAAAGTCAATTGTGACCAATTAGTCCATGCCATGTGCCAGAATCTAAATTATTGTTATAATTTTTTTTTCTATTGTTCTTTTCCCCTCTTCCAAACTCTTCTGATCCCTCAATTTTTGGGTTCATAGGTGAAATTAGAACTTAATAGAAGGATGTAACAAGCTAGAAGAAGCCACAACTTCACAGAATTTACAAGAAGAAGAATCAGAATTCAAAGTCACCTAAAGATATAAAAAGAAGTTTAAACATCATTAGACTGTCCTAAAAGAATCTCCATCTGTCGGTTCAGATCATTCAAATACTTTGTTGAGTTGTATTCTTCTGCATCATGGATCTCCTCTGAGTAAGTCCTCTGAAGCACAGCCTTTTCGTGTTGTTTCAGCGACTCCAGGCAGCTAAGATCACCCTTCAGAATGTTTACAACCTACAGTACAATGCAATGTTTGAATCAATCAAGGTTGAGCATTTTCTTTGGATTGTTCGTTATAGTCATCAAAAGCTGCACTTTTACTTGGACTAGAAGTAACTTATAAAGCTTGCTAGGGAAGAAATTTTTTTTTCGTTTGAAGTTATGCAAAGAAAGGACATGCCTGGCTCATTTGGGGTCGATTCACTGCAGACTGATGTATACAAATGGATGCTGTCCCAGTAACACGGTTCAACTGATCCAAGTCATAGGCATCACCTAGAGTTGGATCAGCAAGTTCTTTGAACTTATTTTCTTTGATCAAAGGTTTTGCCTGCAAGAATTTGTGTAAAGAAATTGAATCATTGGAATACTCAGAATAGTGGACATTGTAGTATAAATTCAAGGAACCTACCCACATAACAAGGCTTTGCTGTGAACTATCTACAGCTTGCCTCCCGGTGATGAGCTCCAACAGCAGTACCCCGAAAGCATAGACGTCTGTTTTTTCATCTACTACGCCATGCATGAAGAACTCAGGAGGAAGGTAACTGCCATGACAAGAACCCTTTGTAATTTTTATGATAAGAAAAAAAATTTTAACGGTTTAGAAACCAAGTGGGAGTTAAAATTACACACCCAAATGTGCCTTCCACTTTAGAGACGGTATGATGAGTCCATTGATCAGGTAACCACTTTGCAAGACCAAAATCAGATATCTGAATTACATTGGAAACTCAACCTTAAGCAAAGTACTTGTTTGGAAAAATATACTACTATATATGCATAACTGCTGTTTCGTTTGACTGCAGTTATGACAAAACTGTTCATGTTCAAGATGTACCTGAGCTTCGAAGTCCTCAGTAAGCAATATGTTTGAAGCTTTGATATCTTTATGGATAATTCTCCTCTGGCAACGTTCATGAAGATAGCTAAGCCCTTCGGCAGCCCCTACAGCGCTCTTGAATCTGATGCACCATTGCAGTTTCTCCTTTGGGCCTGTATAGGCATAGCAACAAGTTGAACAGCTAAATTTTTTCTATTAAGATCTAACTTAAGAGGCTTCTGAAAACAAACCATAAAGTAATGAGGCCAGGCTTCCGTGGGGAGACAATTGAAGAACAAGGTGCAACCCTCCTTCAACCCCATATCCAATCAATTTAGCAATATTGGGATGGTCAACATGAACTATAATTCCAAGCTCAGACAAGAAATCCATTGTCATCTCTTCTGTTGAACCCCTGGTTAGCCGCTTAATTGCGACAAGCTTTCCGCTTTTCAATTGCCCTTTGTAAACTTCTGCATACCCTCCTTCTCCTATCAAATTTTCTTCTCAAAAACAAAGATGAGAATAAATGTTTGTCAGCCTATCAGGGCAATTAGATAATGACAAAGGAACATGTTTCTTTTCCAAGTGTAATTTTAACCTTAAAAATGAATTGAAATTACTAAAAAAAGTGATCAAGTGGGAGGAAATATACCATGACTGAAGTTATTGGTTGCTTCCTGAAGCTCTGAGAGCGAGAAGTTCTTCCAGGTAGATTTAAAACAGCATAGTTCAGCATCAAGAGCAGAACATAGTTGTGGAACCATCTCATCTCTAATTCTTTTGCTCTTTCTTCTAGTGAGCTTAGGTTTTAGAGGAGGTAAAGTTTGAGGGGTGATTCCAGGTCCTTTTTTCAGTAAGCGAAAGAAGCCACGCCATTGAACAATAGTAGCTAAATTTAGTTGGTTTTCAGTGTCTGATGAAGTGCTGGCCTTACAAGAAGTTGACTCAGATTCTGCAGATTCCATTGTCCCTATACCTCTTGATTCCATAGATTCTACACTTGGTTCTATAGATTCTACGGTACCTTTTGAGCAATCCTCAAGAGCATCTGTTGGAGATGGCTGATCTATTTTCTCTACTTCGGTGTCTAATGATGATGCCAGTTCTAACATGATATAGAATTCTAACATTAGCAAAATCGTTGAAGTCTCTTATCATGTACACTCTAGAGAACACAGAAATGGATGATTAATTACCAAGAGATGCAATGTTCGAGTCAGAGAAACCAGCTCGATATCTTCTCCTTATATGACGAAAAGGCTCCCATTTCCTCTTTTCAGTGGCAGTTTTATTGGAACTTTTGCTGTCAGTGGATGGTTCACCACTACGAGAGGGAAAAAAAACGAACAGGTGACATGAACAACATATAATAAGCAAAAAACCAGCATGAAAAAAAGATGGCAAGAAACCAGGAAAAAAGCCAGCACGGTAATGTGTATAAACAATGACATGATGATGAACAGATCAGAAATTGTCAAAAGAGAAAAAAAGAAGAACAGAACCTGCCACAAAGGAAGGTAATGAAGCTGAATGAAAAGACAATCTTAAACATTCTAATGCAAAATAGATGATAATAAAGAACAATGCCTGAAAAGAAAAAAAAAAAGAGAAGGAAAAGCAACAAGCCTGAAACCATCAAAGCGGCCATTTATTTTATGAAATGAAACCAGAGAAACTCAATGCAGCCAAAGATCAAAGCAAAAATACATGAAACTTCTAATTCAAAACATAAAAGGCCCCAAGCCTGTATAAATTCTAGCTTGTGATAATACTTGAAGATTAAGAAAAAAACAAAACTGAATGCTGCAAAACACAAACAAATCATAAAGAAACCAGACTCAGAAGCTAAAAGCCCGAAAAGGATGCATGCAAAGTACCATGATTGAGCAGCAGGTTCTTGGGCATCCCCCATGGCTTTTCAGAGCCGACCAAACCAGGGAGATTGAGAAGCAAAGAAATGACAAAGAAAGAGAGAGACAGGGAGAGAATGACAATGATGAGAAAGGTGAAAAACAAGGTAGAGGGTTGGCATTATTCTCTGAGCTTTTCCCTAATATCCATATTGTTTTTTTTACAGATCACCTGATTTTTGTGCCTAAAAGTAGGCTTTCTGTCATTTCTTCCTTCTTAATCCATTCCTTTTTTTGGTAGAATATTTTGATCCTATATTTAGCATATGTCAAGAAATGTTGAGGGCTTGTAAGAAGCACTTTGGAGAATTCTCTTACCACAACAGCGGCTGTTACAGCAATGCCTCCCTTATTTTTGGTCTTCAACACGTGAAACAAATTACCATTTTTTTTTATTTGTGGTTGTCGAAGATTTTGATTGCTAAAATTAAAATTTTAATATTCTATTAACAGACCGTTCGCTTATGGGCACTATCATTTTTTTTTTTTTTTGTTCTTCAAGTTTCTGTTGCAAATTCTTATCAAATTTTTTGCTGATACTTCAAACAACAAAACCCTTTTGGGTTAACAAGAAAATCTTGAAACATTGAGAAAACAAGAGAATTTGTCACTTTACGTGCAGATTCAAGCCAGATGAGATGGATTCTGATAAATTTTTTATTTTTCCAGATGAAGAGCATTGCCAAAAAGCCTTCCTTCGAGCTTTGAAAGGCTCGAAAATGTAAGTAAACACCTTAATAATGATAGATATTTTTTTACCGCAATGGAGCAAGAAAATAAGATCCTTAAGAGGAAAATACAAACAGAGACTTTATTAGGTAACAAAAAAATGTCAAATAAATCACAAGGTGGAAAAACCAATGATTACAAACCATAGGTACAGTTTTAGCTCAGCTGATTTAATGGAGGTTGCGATTGATCAAACCCTCAAATATTGCATAAACATCTCTGTTATCTGGGCCAAAAATCTCATCTGCCTTCCTTAAAGTCTCCTGGATGATTCAGATAACAAAGGAGATGAAAACGTCACAATGAGAAACAAATAAAAAAAAAAGAGTCAGACAAGAAGTTGCATACTTCTCTCGTTTGCTTGCGGGAATTTAGTTCTTTAACATTTGCCAGGAATGCACCAAACTGCTCGTAAGACAAGCGACTCCTGATGATACAGATGTTGAGGTGAGATAGGCAATTTGTGATAAGCCATGCATTCAAGTGCAGGCAAAACTTCTAACCAGGTGATACAAATCAAGAAGCAAGAACAAACTGGGAGTAATTTTGATTACATTCACTTGGGTGTTTCATAAAACAGATAAAATTTGGGATGATGAACAGATACACAGATTCTTCATAATTCAGCATATACAACAATTTAATCTTTCCACAATTATAAGTTTCATATTACAGATGCATTTACCTGACTTGGCGGAAGAATTCTTTTCCATCAACCCGAGTGCGTCCTGAAACATATCCAGATAGAAGTCATGAGTGCTTTAATCATAAAAACTGTTCCTGTATTATGAAATAAATTTCATCTAAGTTACAACATTCGAAAAGCTGGGTGCCACATCTCCTTATACGTCCATCAAGTTTTAGTAACAGTATTCTTTTCCTTTCTTCTTTTTTCAACATTCTCTTCAGGTAAATGTTTCTATTAAGATGGTTTAGCATTTAGAGTTTTTAGTCAGCAGTTCATGTAGTATTGCAATCCAGCCCTACAAGCAATTAGATTCTACATAAGGTCTTACTCTAGAAGAACAGTTTTGAAGCTAACCGGTCTGTGATCCGGAATCGGAGCTTGATATCGATGACCTATCATCATAGATGCCTCTTGAAGTAGGAGATGAAATCGCATGTCTCCTAGGGGACGCTGGCTTAGATGTTCTTGTCGAAGATACAGATGCTGACAGACTTGGTGGGGAACCAGGAGGAGTTAGCTGAGGTGTGCTTGTTTGTGATTGTAGCAGGAGGTTATGTGGTATGCCAGGTCTTGAGGCTGCCACTGTAATGGTACCTAGTAAGAAAAATATACAGCAATATTGAGTAAGAAAAAGGGGGAAAAATAGATTTCAATGCACTCAGTTGCAAACGTTTGTATATTTTACATGATGCCACACATGCTTGAGCAAACATCATAAACACAGGAACAGAAAGATCCTCAGTAAAGTTTGAAAGACTTTTATCGTTGAAATAATCATGTTTATGAATAAATTCTGCAGCACTGCCAAAACCAACAGAGAATGATGTGTACCATTTGTGTCACGGTCCTCTGCAAACGAATTTCCCATATCAGAGAACTGCCTGTGCATTGAAGCAGCTCTTGAAGGCAATGTCGTGTAATCTTCTGAAAGTCAGAACAAACCAAAGGTTATATCATATGGAAAGGAAAAAGGTTTGAGCACTGACCAACAGCTTATGCATCTCACAAAGAACTACAAGGAAGACACCTCGTAATGATGCATTAACTATTCAATCTAGACTAGAGATAAACTGTATAAACGAAGTTCAAATAAGCCCAACTCAGTGAATAGGAAAATAAAACCATACCTGATGGTGTTGGATTTGCAATGATCTGAGGACCCCCAGCCTGTAGCAAAAACAAGACTTAGCAGGTCAAAAAAGTTCAAAGCACTATCCTAGAAAGAAATTCTCAAAATAATCAATAGAGAACTCCAATGGAGAACTTACAGAACTTTCCTCATCCTCTTGAAGCGACTGCATAAGTTTCCTTCTAAAAACCTCCAACTGCATATGCACAAAATACTACAACCTCAGACTTCATTGTCTAATAATAGAACACTAAATGTCATTTTCCCAACATCACTTAGCTACCACATCAGCCCTTGCCCGTTCAGAGGCATCTATGAAGGGCACACTAAAATTCTCATCATTTTTGTACCACACATACAAATTCCACAAAATGAATGCATTCCAAATCATCATGAAATGCTTATGCCCTCCCTTTTATTTTGCATGAAAATTCATACAACATATATTATACTTTTATACATCCATATGCTTTATTCTACTTCCTTTTCCTGTATTTCTCTTCCAAGTTATCAATCAAACAGCAACATTTCCTCTTGATAGTTAAGTTGTATTGACAAAATGCAAAACTTTATTACAATTAGCAGCCAATTACTTAACTTTTTTAAATAAAACGAAAAACAATCATTAACCCAAAATTTTAAAACCAAAAATTTACACGCTTTAGTCAACCAATCAACCAAAAGTCAAAATTTGGTCAAATCCCATTGACATTTTTACCTTTGAAACATCTCTCTGAAGCTTCCTTACAGTGTTTGAAAGCGAAGCATTATCTTTCAACAAGATCTCCTACCAAAAAAAGAAAAAAAAAGTCGATTATTCGTTTATTTATTCCTAAAAAAGGAAGAAACTATTGAAATTCAAAGCCAGGACGGACCTTTTCCTGGTCGGCCTTAAGGAATTTATAAGAGGCTTCGGACAAAGAAGCATCGAGGGCGTCGATCTGGGCGTTAAGGTCGGCTATTTGTTGGTCCTTCTCGGCGAGCTTGAGTTGAAGGGAAGAAGACTCAGCTTCGAGTAAAGAGACACGTGTAGCGAGTGCCATGGAGGTGATCTTGCGGGCAACATCGAGTTGCTCGAAAGGATCAGAGGGTAATATTTGCACAACTTCCTCGGGAAGGTCGAACGTCGGACCACTCGATTCTTTCGCCAACATTTCTCTCTCCACTCTTTCTGTATTCTATTGTATTGTTTTCTTTTTTGTTTTAATTTTTATTTTTATTTTTTATATGTGGTTTTGTTTTTATATTGCAGGAAAAAGTAATGGAATTGCATAGACGAGGGATTTGGATTTTGGACATTAGTTTAGATGTCATAATCCAAAATATGAGTAATATAATATAAAAATAAAATATTAAAATAATATGATTTAAAATTTTAATTATTATTATTATAAATTTAATAAAATAAAAAATATATTTTATATTTTTATATTAATAAAAATTATGATATATAATTTTTACATAAATTTTAATGCGAATATAAAAATTTTAATATTTTATATAATATAAACAAACGAATTATTAAATTTAATTGAAGAAAAAATATAAGAATTAAAACTATGTATTTATATCATATTTATTTTATGTTAAATATATATAATATAAAACTATTTATTATATTTTATATTAATATATTCAAAGTAAAATATTTTTATTTTTATTAAATTTATTATAAATTTATTGAAAATTTAAATCATATTTATTTATATTTATTTATTATTTTTTATCATACTATGGCATCATTATTTAGGTGATAATTGAGAATGTGAGAGTGAGTTTTTTTTTATTATTATTACATTGTCTTGTTAAAAAAAAAAAAAAACCATGTGGCTTGTGTTGTGAATGGATAGGCCCAAAAAATGAGACAAAAAGTTTCTAGTGGTCTGCTTTTATTAGCTGATGACTACAATTATGTTTTTGTTCAGGCAATGATTTGGTTTGGTCCTAAAATGGGGTTTTTCAGTATTGGCCATTGGGGGTTTTGGAGGCTTTGTCATGGGCTTTGTCAATTTTGAAGCCTGTTTCTGTTGCTGGAAAATGGCCTTCGTCCTCTTGAGTGGTTTTAGTGCAGATCTTGCTTTTCTGGCCATGGTGGTTGATGAATGATGAATCATTTGACTCTGGGTTGAATGCAGATGGCCTGTTTTGAGCTGTTCAGATACATGTACAAAGGAGTTGATGAGTTCAGTTATCAAGCAAACCAGATATGCCTGACCTGAGTCATCCAGCACTTCTCAAGCTTAGCTATGAGAGATCAGCATCGCATATCTGGGACCATGAATAATGGATGATAAAGGAGACCCAAGTTCAATCCTGTATCCCATCCCAAATCTACATCATTGAAAAGCAAACACAATTTGTTTAGTGATAAAAGCCAGATTCATTAACCTGCATCAAATCAACAGGAAATGGATTCTCCAACATGTTTTAAACCACACCACCATGAAACAATGGTTGCCTTCACTCTGCCCTTCCATGTCTGTCCATCTTAGAATCAGTTCCTAGCCATTAAATTTGGATTTGGAAAAGATAATGAAATTAGTTTTATAAGATTAAAAATAACGATAATAATTTATTGTAACGATAAAATTAAATATTTTAATAATAATACTAAAGTCAATAATGAAAATAATATTTGGTTCAAGTAGAACTATTCCTCTTTTTCTTGTTAAAGAAGAAAAAGGAAGATAAGAGTGAAGTTTGTATGTTCTCATTTCTCAAGCTTATGGCCTAGGAAATATGCGACGTTACAAACAAATTTCCATATTCTTTACATTCAAATAAAATTCATTGTGCCTTAGCAATTAAATTCAAATAAATTTGGTTATGACTAAAGGTATTTAAGAATATCTTACGATTTATAGTCATATCATATAAAATATTAAAATTTTTATATTTATATTATATTTATATAAAAATTATATATTATAATTTATATTAATATGAAAATATAAAATATATTTTTTATTAAACTCATTATAATTATTATTAAAATTTTAAATTATATTATTTTATATTTTTTATATTATATTTATATTATATCACTATATTATATTTTAAATTATCAAAATTTATCTAAGACCTAACCAAAGAGTATGATAACAGCATCTTAATCTTGGCCTAATTAGCTTCCATAATCAAACCCAAAGAAAAAGTTCCACGTGGCATTTCATCTTTCATTGGGTATAAAAGGCAAAAATATTCCCAAGGGGTGACCACCTATATGGTTTTGGGCATAAACCTTTATAAAGTTCCCATGATTCTCACAAAAACTTTTTTTTTATGCTTTACTCTTTTATATTTTAGTTTATTTTTATTTAATGTATTTTTTTCTTTTTATAAAGATAATTTTGAATATGCCACAAAAACACTACAAAAAAATACAAAAACCATATAATTATATATATTTAATAAAAAAATATATTTTATATTTAACATATTAATATAAATTAAAATATAATAATTTTTATTTTATATATTTAACCCAAAATAAATACAAATTAAATATATAAATTACAAAACACTTATCCTTCCAATGCAATTACATCCTTGTTCTTTATATAAAGGCAATGAAGAGGGGAGGTAAGAAAGCATTATTGCTTCCTTATACTTCACTTCTCAAATTTGAAAACTTTTCCATATTTATTCTTTTTTTTTATTATTTCTTTCTGTCCTTTTTCCTCTAGTGAGAAATTTATTAGGAATTTACATGGGCCACAACCAGATAATCAAGGCCCACTCAGATTTTTTATTTTTTAGATGAAAATTATTGCAAAATGTTTATTGATTTGAGCACCTTCTTTCGATAAGTCAAAATTACCCTTTTTTCTTAGAGAATATTTTAATTTTTTCAAAATTTTTTAAAATGCATTTTAGTAACAATTATATTATTATATCGATGTCTGTTGGTTTAAATGATAATGAATTTGATTTTTTTTAAATAAGATTTTGATTTCAAATTTTATAAATGAAAAAAATAGACATTAAAAGAGCTTGTCTCCTTTTATAAATTCAAACCCAACTCGATTCCAAAAAAATCAAAGCCTAAAATGATTATCAAACATCGAATGTCCTAAACAAATAGAAATATCATTACTATAAAAATATCATAATGTAATTTTCTGTTTACAATTATATTTCCAATTTTTGTTTTCAAATAAAAAACCTAAAACTAAAAATAATGGACAAAAAATGACTAATGAATTTCTAAAAACCTTAATGAATTTAAAAATAAGAAAACAAATTTCACTATTGACTTGAAATAATTTACCTTGACACCAATGTTAAACATTAATTTAAGGCAAAAAGATAAAAAAAAATGAATTAAAATTCAATAATTAATCAAATTTTTATCATTTTTTGCAACCAATTAAATTTTAAATATCTATCTTCATAATTTGAGCTATTATTAAAGAAAAAATAATAAATTTTATTTTATATATATTTAACCCAAAATAAATACAAATTAAATATATAAATTACAAAACACTTATCCTTCCAATGCAATTACATCGTTGTTCTTTATATAAAGGCAATGAAGAGGGGAGGTAAGAAAGCATTATTGCTTCCTTATACTCCACTTCTCAAAATCGAAAACTTTTCCATATTTGTTTTTTTTTTTTTTCTTTTTATTTCATTCTCTCTTTTTTCCTATAGTGAGAAATTTATTGGGAATTTACATGGGGCCACAACCAGATAATCAAGGCCCATTCAGATTTTTTTTTTAGATGAAAATTATTGCAAAATGCTTTATTGATTTGAGCACCTTCTTTCAATAAGTCAAAATTGCCCTTTTCTTAGAGAATATTTTAGTTTTTTTAATTTTCTCTAAAATTCATTTTAGTAACAATGATATCATTATACCAACTCTTATTCATCCGAGTGATAAAAAATTTGATTTTCTTTATACAAAATTTTAGTTTTAAGTCTTATGAATAAATAAAATAAGTATTAAAAAAATTTATATTTTTTATAAAATTCGATACAACTTAATTTTGAAATAGTCGAAGCCCAAAATGATTATCGAGACAAAAAACTTTAGACAAAAAAAATATCATTATTATAAAAATATCATAATGCAATTTTTCTGTTTGCAATTATACTTCCAATTTTTGTTTTCCAAAAAAAAAACTTAAAAATAAAAATAATGGCCAAAAAATGACTAATGAATTTCTAAAAATCTTAATGAATTTAAAAATAAGAAAACAAATTTCACTATTGACTTGAAGTAAGTTACCTTGACGCCCATGTTGAACATTAATTTAAGGCAAAAAGATTAAAAAAAAGTTTTGAATTAAAATTCAATAATTATTCAAATTTTATCCTTGTTTGCAATCAATTAAATTTCAAATATCTATCTTCGTAATTTGAGCTATTATTAAAGAAAAAATAATAAAATATTTTTTTCAATGACTTAATTAGATAAAAATAAATATTTAAAAATTTAATTAAGTGTAAATAAATATTTAATGATTCAACTAATTATTTAAAATTTAATTAGTTGCGATAAAATATTAAAAATTTAAATAATTGTTGAATTTTTATTAAATGGTCTTTTGACATTTACACTTTGATTTAAAGATTAGTATAAAGATGAAAATTTTCCTTATTATTTAATATTTATTATTTTTAGGTACGTATGGAATATTAAAGAACAGTATGAAATCCTTGACCTGACTGAACAAATAGTAACATGATTTGATGTTAGAATCCTTGACTAAATCATGAAGATGTATCATATATTATGTACCCTAGATACATACATACATACATACATATATATATATATACATTAAAGCCCTAAACATAAAAAAAATAACAAAATTTTATTATAAGTTGCACCCTAAACATATAATCATCTATTTCAACAATCATAATTTTTTTATGAATGATATATAAAATTAATATAAACTTTATTAAATCTTTCAATTTGCTGCTTAAAAATAGTGTGATGTAATAATTTTAATTACTATGAACTTTATTAAATTCTTTAAAATAACAATAACAATAATAATTTATTTGAGTATGAAAAAATTGATGCTTCCCTCACAATATTTATACAACTCAATGAAAAAAATAAGTATAACTTAATGGATTTGGTAATTTGAAATTCGAGTGACATCATATGAAAATGAAATAAATAAAAAAAAAGAGTAAAGATAACACAATTTAAAATTTTAAAAAATATATAAATAGATTTAACAAAATTAAAAAATTATATTTTATATTTTTATGTCGATAAAAATTGTGATATATAATTTGTGTATAAAATATAATATAAATATAATATTTTATATAAT